CATCTTAAATTGTATCACTGATAAATTCCCCGGTGAATGAATTTTTTATATTTTTTATATTTTTTATATTTTTTATATTTTTTTAAGTCCTCATTATTTTCAAGTTCAATTTTTTTTTTGCTACTAACATTTAATTTAAAAGAAAAATTAGCAAATTTAGTTTGAAACAAACAAAAAACATGTTGTTCATCCAAAAGGCAAATGGGTAGCCATTTGCTTGGAGATTGTAATGGATATGTAAGTCGAAGTTCTAAGTTGGATTATAAATTTTGATATACATTAGAAATTATTATCAATATTGTCATTTGTAAAAGGGAGAAGTTTATATAGAGCCAAGGCTCTAAACAATTAAATTTGAGTCTACCTCAAATTGTTTACTAAAGATGTTGTTTTGATGCCCAAATATCCTAAAATTGATCATCTGAACATCAAGATGAATGGACATGAGAAAAAAATGGATTTCAAGTTTTGAAAATAGTGTATTTTGTAACGCATTTTTAGACCGTCAATTTTCAAGATTTTCAAGTTTTCATAGAGCTATCGATAGACACTATTTTTTAAGCTTTAAACTTTATAAATAAATATGAAAATATATTTTAAGGCTATCACAAATATTTTCAGTATTTGAAACCACATTTTTTGACACTATTTGAAGGTAGGCTCTAATTTGATTGTTTAGAGCCAAGGCTCTATACAAACCGCACCCTTTGTAAAAAAATATTTATCATATTTATTTTGTGATGTATATAATTCAAATTATTATTTAGTAATCTCAATAATATAAATTCCACACTATATTGCATATTATTTTAATATATTTAAGTCTAGGTAAATAAATAATGGGTGTGGTTTCCATAAGGTTGCAACATTAAACAATCCATTTAAAGCGCACCTTCAAATTTTACCGTAGCATATAATTTTGATGTAAAATATTCTTAAGATTATCTCAAAATCTATTTTCAAATCTAATATAAAATTTTAAACTCCAAAAATAATTAAAATCAAGTAGATCTATAAACACATGAAAATCTTGAAAATGAATGGTTTAGATAATTATGCACCATTTTCGAGGCTCAAAATCAATTTTTTCTTTCATAATGATACATATTGATGTCGAGATGATCAATTAGATGGTTTTTTAACATTCAAGCAACCTTTACCAATGGATTTTTGAGGTGCATCTGTAGTTCTACATTTTAAGGTTGAAACCTTATATAAACTTTTCCCATAATAATAAACTCCGCTTTAAAACCAGAAACGTGGTAAGGACATGTTTTCATGGAGATTGCAGGAATTTACATATGATAATATCTTGTCAAAAATCTGGTACGGTGACTATCACCAAGCAAAAGAACTAAATGCATTCAGACATTCTGTTACGTTTTTATTTTACCCATGTAGTACTTCTTCGTTGTAAAAGGTTCCTACTAATAAGTAAATGGCATCTCATCTATTCATTAAGGTTGAGAATTTACCGAGTACGGATTCAAAACCCGAATATTGGATCGGGATATGGATTGAAGATTTGAATTCAAAATTTAGGTCTGAAATATTATTCAGATCAAATATGGTATAGGTGGATCTGATGCGGATCTATATGGTATAGGTGGATCTGATGCGGATCTTTTATATATATATATATATATATATATTTGGGAAAAGTTTATATAGAGCTAAGGTTCTAAACAATCAAATTTGAGTCTATCTCAAAATTTTTAGTAGAAGAGGTTCTTTTGGTGCCCAAATATCTTGAAATTGATCATCTCGATATCAAGATACATGGACATGAGAAAAAAATGAATTCAAGTTTTAAAAATAGTGTATTTTGTAATGCATTTTTTTATCGTCAATTTTCATAGATCTATTGATCTACACTATATTTGAAGCTTTAAACTTTATAAATACACATGAAAATAAATTTTAAGACTATCACAGTGATTTCCAGTACTGAAACCACATTTCTTGATAATATTTGAAGGTAGGTTCTAATTTGATTGTTTAGAGCATAGGCTCTATACAAACCGCACCTTTTATATATATATATATACTTTTTAGATACATATGGAGACTAAATAATTCTCAGCCCTATCCAGGAACCTGTTTTCTGGTTAATTGATTCATAGCCTGTTATTACACAAAAACACACACAGCGCGTAAATATAGCCTGAATAATTGGCATGCGTGTGGCTTGTTATAGGTGTGCATATAATTCATGATTGGGTACAAATCTCTATGAGATTGTGTATCATAGTTTCCACCTTTTACTTTATAACATGGAAATCACATAACTGGTTTGTGTTATTTTTGGTAATGCTGCTCACAAAAACCAAGAAAAAGATCGGTTTTTCGGCAAAATCCGATAGCCTCATGTTGCATCGGTGGCGCCACAAAAGCGTATCATCTCTGTATAACTTGAGATGTAATCTCTCTCTCTCTCTCTCTTTCGAGCTGCATTTATTTCAAACGATTTATTTTGGTGGTGATCTCCCTATCTATGAGATGATCTCTCTCTAGGATCTTCTCTTGTGACTCGTCTTTGAGACGCTCTCTCATCTCCCTCTACAGATGTAAAAGGGCGGTTTATAGATCAAAATTACGTGAATATTTATTAAAAAATTATTTGGGTATGAGGATGGCATCTTCTGATCGAATTAAATTTTTTTTTAAGTTTTTTTTCAATATAGAATCTTTGGATCGATAGTATTTTTTTTTTAAAAAAAATAACGGCCCTAGGTTGGCATCCTCGGACCTCCTTGTGAACTTTATTTTCGGTCCGAGGATGCCAACCTCGAACCACTTCCTAGTGTAACATGAATGAGGTTTGCATCCTCAAACAGCTTTGGAACTTCATTTGCAATTTGAGATTAACACCCTAGGACTGCCTTGTGCACTTCAGTTTCGGTATGAGAATACCATTTTTGGACCACCTTATGTTCTTTTGATGTGTGGAATTCCAAGCAATCCGAAGATGTTAACTTCGAACCGCCTCTATCAAAGAAAAAAAAAAAATCGATCTACAAATGTTTTTTTTGGATCGAGGGATAATTTTGAAAAAAACAAGCCGTGCTTGATAGACTTTTTTTGTAATTTTAAGATATAAACATAATATTTTGTATTTTCCCTATTGTTTTTTAGAGGCCGTATGTAAATAACTCTATATTATTTGAGATGCTCTCTCTCTCTCTCTCCTCTCGTCATGTCTAAGACGCACCCTCTCTCTCTAGGGCAGCGTGGATTTCAAAAGTCTTAGTTTGGTACACGTCTTAATTTCTTACTCAATTGAAGTTTGAAGGATTTCTTTACTTTTACTTATCTCGGTGACGTCATAAGCCTTGTACAAGACTCGGTTCATGAACATTAAGATATGCACAAGTTAATGACTTAATGCTTTCTTTTTATGTCCGAATCACATATAAATTCAGAAAATCGGCCATCTCCCTAAGTGTACGGTTGTAATCTTTGAGCAATTAAATTTGAGAGTTTGATGCATGTTATTAAATTTAATAATTGGAATTTCAGAGTATTAAGCAGGGATAGTTACGCGAACGCCGCCACTCTTTTGAACCGCCCCAAATTTTTGGGGAAATAACGACTCAACCATTTGCAACCCTTTCTTCTTTTCAATGACGAATAAGTCCCCCAATTTTTTGTCGCGAACGTTGTAGAACATCCAGGTTCTATCCCTGGTGGGCCTTTAGCCTGGCCATCCTTGGCCCTAACCCAGCCCCTAGCTTAACTGGTTTGGTGGGGCCACAAACAAATAAAAATAAATAATAAAAAAACAATGGAATAAAAGGAGCCATGTTAAGACTGGCTGGGCTAGGGCTAGCACTGGCCCTAGCTTGGGCTCTGAGCCACAATTTGTGGCCTAAGCCCTATTTTTTGAGGGCTAGGCGCCCTGTAATAAGTTCTCGTTTTTTTTGTGTTTAAGAGAGAGGGGCGAAATACATTTGTTTACCCATAAAAAATAATACACCAATCAAAAAAATAATGGATTTGAAGAAGGGAAGTGATGGAGCGTTAATATTATGAGAGATCACGTGAGTGTCTATGTCCACCTACAAAATATCTCCTCCCTCTCTCTCTCACTCACTTACTCTTCAAACTGAACCGTAAATGATTTCACGCAAGGAAAGCATAAACACCAAATTGGATAATATGGAGCCCTAGCATATTCATAACAACCAACAAAATAAGGGCGTGGGCGTGGGCGTGGGCGTGCATATTCATAACAAGGAAATAATCCCGTAGTATTGTCGTAGTCAAAAAGTTTGTATCCAATACGTATTGTATACAAGCTAAAAATGCACGCGAGTGAAACTTGCTCACTAAGTTTATCCGTTTATTTTCACTAATGCATTCGAACAATTACTAATCATTTCTGAGATGCCCATGTAATCTTGTATTTTGTTTGAACTTATTGTATTTTTATTTTTGAATTAATGATAAGTAATACGTTACCGTTTAAATAAAAATAATAATAATAATATTTTAAAGTGTATAGGCCTGTTTTTTCTAATCATCTATCAAAAATAATAAAATAAAATAAAAAAAATAGAAAATAATATCTTAGACCCCATAGTCGAGGGCTGTTTCCGTCATTACTAATCATATATGGGGTGTTTTTATCTTAATGAAATGGTTTAACTAAAATTTATCCTATAAATCAGGCAGCATGCATGGTGACGTGGTCATTAAAATAAGGGCCCACACGCAAAGCCACATCCTCGTGTTTTCATTGGCTTCACCCATCGGTCAAAAAACACACGCCCCTTCGCATTTACTATTTTACCCTCACTCTCATGAGGCAGACCCCTCCTCTCTCTCTCTCTCTCTCGCTTAACCTAACTTGACCTTGTACCCCTACTTAACCATGGTTAAGGCACACGTCCTTTCATCCAGGTATAAATACCAATCCCCTTCAACGCTTGGTCAAGACAAAAAAAAAACACTGAAGAAATTCAGTCTCGTTCTCTCTCTACAAAACAACGAAAACCCTAGAATCCTCTTTCTCTCTCTACAAAACGACGAAAACCCTAGAATCTCTTCCTTTTCTCTCTGTAGGAAAAAGGTCGCAGACCAAAACCCTAAAAGTAGCTCTCTCTCTCGTGTGTCTTTCTCTCTCTTCTGGCTTGAGGTTGCAGAGACACTGGTTGTACTCCTGCGATCTCAGAGTCATATATTGTACCTCAGTATCTCCGTGTCAGAATTCATCTGAGAGGGATTTTCTTCTCCATTTTGAAGCGCCGCTATTACTACAGGTTTAGCACTGTTGTTTTCGGGACTTTGATAGTGTTAATCGAACCTCGAACTTTGAACCTCACTCTATGGCGTCAACATTTGTCTCTGGTTTCTGAAATGTCATGATTTTTTGCTTTTCATGTGTCATTTCGTTTTCTCTCTCTAATTATCGAGTGCTTTTTCTTCCCATTTTTTCTTGTTCAATGAGTTTCTTGTGTTTGTTCAGAATTCGCAGATCGAAGATTGAAAACTCAGTTTCAATTATTGTTGATTTCGTCAAAATGGCTTTTCATCATTTAAGATATTTTTGCTTTCTTTAGAAGCAAAACATTACTGTGTATGATTTCATATTCAATTTTTGGTCATTGGATTGAATTGAAACCATTTTATGATTGAGCTGGTTTTAGTCATTTTATTTTCTGCGGAAATGTGATGAAGATACTTAATAGTTTTGGTCTTAAAAGATTTGAGTAAGCAAGACCAGGTTTTAACAGGCCATTAGAACATTTTTCACTGGTTTTATATGCCATTTTAAGCATATTTTCACTGGTTTTACAGGCAAAAGCTTGAGTGAGGAAAAGAGATTGTTAAGGATTCAAAAGGTTTGAAGGCATAATGGAAAATCTACTGTGCAAAGAAGAGCTTCTGAGGACTCCATCAAGGGAGTCGAACTCCATGTATAGCGATCCGCAAAAGTTGGGCCATTTCGCTGTCCAAAATGTTGAATCGTTTTTCAAGAGCATAGAAGACTGCGAATTTGCAATTAAGGTTAGCTTAGAGAAAGAAGCATTTTACATGCCTGATCGTGGTTACGCTGAACGCCTCAGGGCCATCAATATGGTGGACTCAAGAATCAGGGCGGTTAAATGGATCCTCCAGGTTCAAAACTGAAATGTTTCTCATCTGACTGTATATTTTACTGCAATTATGTTACAAAAAATGTGTGCTTGAAATTGAAAACTGCTAAATATTGGTAAATTTCTCAAAATTTAGGGTTCCGCCGAAAATCAAAGTTTGGTTTCTGCATAGTTTTGCAAGTTAACTCTGAATTGCTTATTCTAATTTTCTCTTGGTGCAGTCTGCCGCTCGTCTCAGTCTCTCTTTTAGTACAATGTTTGCGGCAACCAATTATCTGGACCGCTTCATATCCAAGTACTCCAGCACGGTAAGGAATAAGAGAGAAAACGCTTGTTTTATTTTGAGAGAGAGAGATAGAGATGGAGATGATGATTTTATTGATGAATCTATACAGGAATGGAGGCTCTGGATGATGGAGCTCCTTCAAGTTGTGTGCTTATCCATCGCTGCAAAGTTCGATGAAGTCTGTATTCCATCGCTATTTAAAATCCAGGTATCCTTCTATTCCCTGCTCTTTTCCTCTTCTAAAAGTCACAAATTGACATTCCTCTTCTCTTTCTCCTGTCACGGGATTTCATGGGCTCGTAAAAGTCGAAAGCTGAGGCACCTACGTACTTATCAACATCTCTTATAACACAATTTCGATTAGATAAGAGATGATGATAAGTAAAACTATCCATATATTTCGATTAAAGAAGTCCCAATTGTTTCCCAAATTTTTAATCACAGATTACCATTTGATTACTGTTTTTTAGCTCTTCTTTTCACGTCCCTTATTCTGAAATTTGTTCAAATTTCAGTCCCAATAAAAAGATAACGAAAATTGTTCCGTGCGTTGGTCCCCCGAGGTTTAGAGCCTTCCATCTTAGAGATGGGCGAAATTGGTGGTCCATCTAAAAACAGTTAAATTAACGTCCAAATGTTTTCTTCATAAAATTATTATTATTATTATTATTTTTATTATTATTTTTCATATTCACGATCTCTATGTTAAAAATTATATGTCCTTAAAAAATTAGGTCCAAAACTCCATCACAATTTTCTTTGTTTATGAGGGGACTCGTTTCTACTTGTTGGACTCATAAATTAAAATTGTAGCTGCAGTCTATGCAAACACCATGCGGATTTTGTTTAAAATTTCACATCTGATTCCATTATTTTTAATGAATTGAGCTCTAGACCCCAATTTTCTCTCTTCATATTTTTGGGGTTGAAACCTTATAAGATGACGTTTGTGTGGCATTCATTTTGGTCGCTCGTGAACATTGTTACTGCTATTCGAAGACCTACGTATGATTTAATCCCTAAGCTTTAGCCTTTCTTAATTGCTAACGTCAAAGCTTTGACTTTATCAAATTATAGTCACTAATTTTGAGACCGTTACTGGTTAAGGATGACGTGAGGCTTTCCCACGTTCAGCAAAATTCGGGAGTTTTCATTCTTCAATGGTCAGCTTAGATGTCGTAAAACTAGATATTTTCTTTATTTAAATAACTAAAACTTGATTGTGAAGAAAGAGAAAGAGGGGAGACAGTAATTTGTCAAAAGTTTTGGGACAAGACACTAACGGTTTTTTTGAAGTTTCTATATCTTGGCATCTCAGCTGTTTAGATATTCGATAAGTGCCTTGGTACATTTTGAGCTTTATTCCTATTACGGGCACCTTTCCCACTTATTTATCAAAAAAAAAATAAAAAAAATGGAAGTGGTTAAGCTATTTATCAAGACGTTTTTCAAAAACTCTAAACCTGTGAGAAAAATTAGATTAGGGTTCAAAAAACCTTGCCATAGCTTCATGTGCACTTCTGTGAATTTGAAGCTCTAAAAGGTCGCACTTTTGTAAGTTTTTTTTTTTGGCACTATTACTAGATGAAATCTGAAATCCAGTTGCGTAAAAGTTTGGATTTTATAAAAGAAAAAAGTTTATACAAGGTTGTAATCTTATATTGTAGAAGTTGTACCTCAAAAAGGCAATAGCATTGAGTGTTTAGAAGTTTGAAAACCTTGTAGTCACTCATCTCTACTTCAAGTTATATGGATATAAAGAAAATAAGAAAGAATTTCAGGTAAAAAAAATAGTGCATTTTATAATGTTATCTATTACATCTTAAAATAAGCTATCAATACTATTTATTTTCAAGATTTTCAAATAGATGTGCTCAGTGTGTACCATTTTTTTGAATTTTCAACTTTATAACCAGTGCACAACAAAAATTCAGGCCTTCATAAGGTTTCTGACACGACAACTGCACGATAAAATTTAAAAGTGCATCTTACTTGTAGAGTATAAAAAGCATTGTTATGTAAATGGCACCCTATATAATATACTTATAAAAAGCATTGTTATGTAATATATAATATACTTTCTGGCCAGTCTTAAATGGAGAGAGTGACCAATTTATCTTTAATTTTTGTCGACTGCGTAAGTTACAATAAAAATTTGATTGTGGTGGGCATTTGAAGATGATGGATGGGCTGGAAAATTTATTCGATCAACGCGTGCTTCAAAAAATGGAATTAACGGTATTAAAGACATTGGACTGGCGCCTCAATGCCGTTACCACTTACTCCTTCGTGGACACGTTTATTGGGCGCATGGGGCCTCTCCACTACGTCCTCCATGATTCATTAACGGCGCGTGTCACGGAGTTCGTACTCAATACTCTGCTAGGTATAGTTCGTACTCAATACTCAAGTCTTGGGGTTTGCCCTTTCAATATTCTCAACTTCTCTCTCTGTGAGTTTGAGGTGAACTTTACCTGAAAATTTGGCCTGAATTGAACGTTTCAGACTTGGATTTCCTGCAATTTCGGGCGTCTTCTTTGGCAGCTTGTGCTTTACGATGCGCCTTAGAAGAACTGCTTCCATTGATGGACGGTTACCATGTTTCTGGTCTATCTTCTATCATCCCACAGCAACAAAAGGTAAATTCTATTTTTAAGCTATCCTTTCAAATTTTCTGACCTATATTACAAATGCAATATATAGAACACAAACTGTTTTTATTATTTAAGGATGATAGTTTTGAACCAGTTTTTATTTTTATTGTTTTGGGGAATAGGATGAAATTGAAAGATGCCATGAGTGCATGGAGCTTCGTTTGGTGGATCCTCTTTGCAGTCTAACGACCTCATACTGCCGCTTCTCTCCTCCAAGCCCAGTCACAGTCATGACGACCGAGCACCTCGGGGCCCTTGGTTTCTCTCAATATCAATCTCGACCGAATGCTTTCTCTCTCTTCCAAGCAAAATCGTCGGTCATGGACCCTAAGGGGTGTCCTCTCTTCGAAGTTCAGCCAATCTCGCTCATGGTTCCAAACGATTTCTCGCTCTACCAAACCCAACCCAATTCTGTCATCAACACTAAGAAGAGGCAGAGAGAATCTATAACTTGTGAACATGTGGAACGCCCATCTCTTAAAATGAAGGTTTGAGCTTTGAAGTTTCTTCGTCTCCAAACCCTTACCCATCTCTCATATAAACCCAAGGAAGAGGGAAAAAAGAGAGCATCTCTCTGAATTTTGACCTAAGTCTCCACCTCTCCTTTTTCTCAAGCAGAAGACTAGCCTGCCTGTCGATACAGCACTTAAATAATGGGCCCAAGTCCTTTGGTTCTAAGGATGCGAGTGCATGAGTGTTGTTACTTGTTATATGTTGTTACATTTACAAATTCAATGAAAAATTAATACATTTACAAATTCAATGAAAAATTAATATACTTTCTTTGTGGAATGCAATTTCTCTCTCTAAATGAGAGTATTTTTTATTTATGTTTGAATTCTCTTTACAAGAAAATTGCACATGAAAGTCTAGAAATCTAGATATACAGTAGAGGGAAAATTCAAGGGTGAATAATCATTTTATCACCCATAATAAATAAAGATAGCGCACACAAAGCCTGAAAATATAAAAAAAGAGAAGGTTGTCTGGTCTCCAAATGCTCAGTTGGTGTATGCTTGGAGCCTCCTTCCTTGAGTAGAGAAGGTTGTCTGGTCTCCAAATGCGCAGTTGGTGTATGCTTGGAGCCTCCTTCCTTGAGTTTGGGTTTCTTCATCTGTTTAAAAGACACAGATCATTCTTTTACGACCCTCGTATATTGACTCTGGACTATGAATAAGTATTCCAAATATGGAAACTAGATTGTAATCCTCTTGGCATCAAGAAAATGTGGTCATGAGTACAAGATAAAATAAGGCAAACTAGATTGTAATCCTCTTAGTATCAAGAAACTGTGGTCATGAGTATAAGATAAAATGAGGCCCACCATACAAGTCGTTCATGCTCGGCCATCACCATCCAGCCCAGTATTCGAAAAATCGAAGCGGCCTCAGAAGCCAGTCAAGGGCTGGGTGCAAGTAACCAGTTCAACCGGCCTAACCAAACAGGTAGCAGTCCAAAAAGCATTCAAAAAGATAAAAATAATACAAACAAATCCCAAAAATATTCTAAAAAGTATATTTAAAGTATGGTTAAACAAAACGTATTTAAATGAAACCGTAAAATACTGAAAAATAGATTTTAAGAAATTGATTTTTAAAATAAATATTTATTGTCAAAATGCTTTCCAATCGGTCAAAATGATAAAAACCATTAAAAAATAAAAAAATTTGCAAGCGAATTTTTTATTTTTATGTTTTTTTTAATTTTCGTTTTAAATATTCGGCTGAACCCTAAAACCACTAATGCCCAATCCTGATTTGACCGGCTGGTTACGTTGGACCGGTCGAGTTTTGGTAACACTGATCCAGCCCATTGATTCGGACTCACGCATCACATGATTTGGTTTTATTTTGTTGAATAGAATAGACACATGAACGTGTAGACAAACACCACCTGCACATATGGTTTGTGCCCGAATATGCGCTCATACGCATTGACCGGGCTAGGGTTATAAGACTGACCACTGATTTGTGTTAATGGGGATGGAATTCTCTCCGGTGTGATATTGTTGGCTTTGTTCTTCAAAAAAAAAAACAAACAAAAAAAAAAGAGTTTATGTAAGGTTGCAACTTCAACTATATATGCACCTCAAAAATCTATCGGAAAAGGTAGTTTTAATGTTGAAAATTCTTTTGATTGATTATCTCGACCTCGAGAATCTCGACATCGAGATGTATGACCCTGAAAAATAAAAAGATTTTAAGTCTCAGAAAGAGTACATTTTACAACATATTATCTACACCGTCCATTTTCAAGATTTTCATATGCTTACAGATCTACTTGATTGTAACTATTTTTGAAATTTAAAAATTTATAATTAGATAAAAAATAGATTTTGAGATAATCCTAAAAACATTTTACATAAAAATTATATACCATGATAAAATTTGAAGGTGCACCTTACCTCTACAGCTACGGATGCATCTGTATGCTAACTAAACCCCAAAAAATAAAATTACTAGGCCTGTTTTTAAGGACAAGCTTTCTATGCTTCCTCTACAGCATAAAACTTGTATACAGCCCTTTATCCAAACGTCCATTCTGAATGGAGGGCTAAGATTGCCCCAATCACAATGTCATGTATTTACACCATTTTATTTTTAATTTTTTTCTATAAAATATTTTGACACCAAATTTTGGATGTCCATTGCTCTATTAAACTTTCACTAGCGAAAAATATAAAAAAAAATATTTTCAATGAAATAAAATGACCAAAATACCTTTGAAAGTTTCAAAAGTATTTTGATCATTATATTTTATCGAAAAAATATTTTCAATATTTTTTTATAAGTGCGTCCCAATGAAAAGATGGCACATACCAAATTTTATATTCATATAATTTGTATAAAAAATTAAAAATAAAATACTTTGAAACGTTAGATCTAAGATCAAACGGTGAGTGGCTCTCTTAATCAAAATTGAAGGGCCAGATGGTAGGGGAAAATAGAACTTCTACGTTGTAAGAGAAACATAGAGACCATTCCCTTGTTTTAAAATAGGATGCGTAAGCATAGAGACCTTTCCCTTGTTTTAAAATAGGATGCAGTTTCTATGGCGCTGCGGCCGTGTGCTCCGTTCATCTATATGGACGGTGTAGATTCTTTATTGTACCCGACAAAATAAACTTAAAGGACTAGGATACAGTTTCTATGGGGCTGCGGCTGTGTGCTCCGTTCATATGGACGGTGCAGATTCTTTATTGTACCCGACAAAATAAACTTAAAAGGACCTGGAGCCCCGGTATCCTTTGTCCTTTTCTAAGCTTGTTTTTTTTTTCTTTTTTTTTTTTACCATATCTTTCTCTCTCTAGTTTCTTTCTAACTCTCAAGTTATTTCTCCAGATTTGTATCACCTTCTCACTCCCGTAACCCATTGCCCTAGACCCTCTGTCTCTTTTCAGTATACAATTCTCTTCTCTCTTCCTAATTTACGCTTCCCTCTTAAGAGAACGTCCCATTTCCTTTCAGCCAAATCACCTCTCTCTCTAAATTTTTTATTGGGAAAGAGCTTAAAAGGCATTCTAATCACGTCTCTTTTTATCTCTCTCTAAATTTTTCATCTGGAAAGAGTTTAAAAGGCCTTCTAATCGCCTCTCTAGCTCTCTCTAAATTTTTCATTGAGAAGAGCTTAAAAGGCCTTCGACAAAAGCCAGAGACCCAAGCAAATGTCCCAGTCCAGAGAAAACACCAGCACCAATACTCCTTATAATGGTCGACCATCCTATAATTCGAATTCCAATCAAAGAGCCCCCAATCCTTATAGAAGTTCCAAAACAACTTCAAATTTCGAGAGAGGAATGAGCTTCAGAGAGACAAACGTTAAATTTGCAGAAAAATCCATCAAAACTTAGGCCTAGTTCTATCTGATCTGCTCAAAAAAATATATAAAATCCATATAAATAAGAAAATAGAGATGAAAAACTCTTCACCATGTATGAAAAGCAATACTAATTTTTTTTAGATTCAGTATTCTTTTTCTCTTCACCATTCTTTCCTCTTGAGAATGTGAACGTGTGTGGTTAGAGAGATAAGAAGTGGGTTTGATTTTTACGTTCTAGAAAATAAAAAAGAAAATTATACTTAAATATGGGAATGCTCTCTGTATTGTGTTCTTAAAAACTAAGGGTAAAAGAAAGCCAATGCATATACAACACATAAGTACTATGTAAATGTGTTGTCTAAACTTATTTTTGGGTTACTTCATGCATGTTATGTGTTATGGGTCAAAAAAATGTCACCCAAGTACGTATGAGAATCAAAGATGTGATAGTACCAATGTATAAGAAATAATGGTTAGTGTTGATAATAGGATTTTATTGACTTGGGTGAATTAAGAATTTTTAGAGAGAGAGAGTTAACAACTTCAAACAAAAAAAAAATATTTTTTAGAGAGAGAGTTGTAGACACTTCTAGAGAGAGATAGAGAGAGTTAACAACTTCAAAACAAAAAAAAGAAAATTTTTTAGAGAGAGAGTTGTGTAGACACTTCTAGAGAGAGAGAGAGAGAGCATGTCTTAAATATGTTGTACTTGTAATGTGGCTTGTGAGTGAGAAAAGTAGCCAATAGGTGTACGTGAGAAAAGTAGCCAATGGGTGTGCGTGAGAAAAGGAGCGTAGATAAAGTTAGACTCATTTGTCATTTTAAAAAAGACTGCAATTTGTTTGTACGTAATTTCACTTTAATCCTAGGTGCAGCAGCACCTTTTCTCTTTTCTATTCATTTACATCTTCATGTACAAGTCATGCCGTTGGTTACAAAATATGTTGAAAAATTTACATTTCCACAAGAAAGCTCCACAAATATCAATATTGACAATAACTCGGATTGCATTAGCAAATAATCTGGTGTTTATAGGAGGAGCAAGCAAATAGATATAAGGTTCCATTCAATATGGGAGCATATTAATAATAATGAAATTTAACTAGCCTTATGCAAATCAGAGGATCAAGTTGCCAATATTCTAACAAAGCCATTAAAGACCGGCATTTTTTTTTCACCAACGTGTGCTATTTGGAATGAAGGAAAAATTAAAAAAAAAAAAAGAAAAAAAAAAAGAGGTTTAACTGGGGACGTTGTTGTAGATACCATTTTTTGGGGTTATTAATATAGAAAAAATATCTCTCTATCCCTTACTTTTAGCTCCATATATCATGAGAGCCAAGAATTAAAAATATTACTTCTAAACAAAAGGTCTCCTATCTTTTCTATCTTACAACCCCATGGACCCTTTTGACCATAAATTTTTTACCCAAACAAACACTAAAATGGTACCCTATTCAAACTCCATCTCTCTCCCTCTAAAACTCCATCTCTCTCTCTTCGCGTTTCAGTGAGTTTACCAGCCAAGAGGTTTAGCTTGAGATCGAACACGAGCACACCTTCTTATGTATGAGAGAGAGATAGAGTTTTAGAGAGAGAGATATGGAATTTGGGTTTTAGAGAGAGGTGAAGTTTGAGATTTAGGGAGAGAGGAGTTTGAGTTTTAGGGAGAGAGATAGAGTTTGAGAGAGAGAGAGAGACGATGATGTGAGAGAGAGAGAGAGACGATGACGTGAGAGAGAGATGGAGTTTTGAGAGAAAGACGATGATGTGAGAGAGATGAAGTTTTAGAAAGAGAGAGATAGAGTCATTTCATAAGTTGTTGAGATCAATTATACATGGTCAAAAAGATTTAGGGGGTTGGAAGATAGAAAAGATGAAGTCCTTTTGCTGACAAGTAATATTTTCAATTCTTGGATCTAATGAGATATATAAGTTAAAATTGAGGATAATAAGATATTTTCCATTAATATATTTATGGGTAAAAAAACAAGTATGTATGAGAATTAAAAGTGTGGTAGGACCAATGCATAGGAAAGGAGGAGTTGGTGTTGGTAAAAGGATTTTGTTCTTAAAAAGAAAAATAAGAATGTGTTGGAGAGATACTTGTAGACACTTCTAGAGAGATTATATGTCACATAATATGAATGTGGTGTGTGAGTGAGAAAAGTAGCCACTAGATATACGATGAGAATAGAAAGGAGTGTAGAGAAAGTTGGATTCATTTGTCATTTCAGAAAAGAGTGCAATTTATTTGAAAGCAATTTCAATGTAATCCAAGTGCGGTAGCACCGATTTCTTGTGTTTTCTCTTTTTCCATAAAAAAGGGCACAACCCATGACTTGAAAAAACACTCTCTCTTAATGGGATTATATCAGCAAGGGGTAAATATTGTCTTGGCCAGCATGAAAATTTAAAGATATTCCTTCAATTCATTTTTCTAAGAAAAGCTTGTATAAGGTTGTATACTACTTAAGTAAGGTGCAGCTCAAAAATCCTACATAAGAGAGTGTTATGGGATCTCAACCTCGAGATGAAGAAGAAAATAATTCCAAATTAAAAAAATGGTGCATCTTGTGAAAATTCTTTGGACCGTCTATTTACAAGTTGATCTCGTCAATATGTAGCATGTCCTAAATTTTAATTTTTATAAACAAGGATGAAAATATATTTTCAAGCCATCATAAGGTTTCCTACACGGAATGACTTCTACAAACAAATTTTATAGGTGTGCCGTACTTCTACAGTATATGGATGTTACCTTATACACACCTCACTATTTTCAAATATCTCCAACAAAATGAATACATACGCCCGCCTTCACCCATAACCAATATTTCCAACTGTTCTTATGATTTTCCCTTCGCATCTTTCTGTTAAATCTCTATCATATGCTACTAGTTTAGTTTCTTTAACTTTCTTGTTCGAAGACTAAAAAGCTTCCTTCTTCTATTGCTATTTGTATGAGAGAGAGAGAGAATGTACCTCCATGATGATTGACGTAAACATTTTCCTGCTCTTCAACCCAAAGCAAAGAAGTAACCGCCTCCTTCACCTTCTCCACAACGCCTTTGTCCCCATCTCGAGCCACTCTCCTCGGACTGATGGCCTCAGTTATCACCTGTGAGAGAGCCCTCTCTTCTTGTCCAGGCTCCAGCTTATGCCGAAGGTACTCTTTCATGGATACCCCTTTATCCCACTTTTGCTTGCCCCCTAACTCCTGGCTTGTGTTAACTGCCCTAGGAGAATTAATGGTTGATGCCACTAAGTTTGATGCAGCTTCTGAGACCTTGGCATAAGCTGGGGCTAACATATCCGTGACTGTTTCAGTTAAAGTCTTATTGTTGTTGTTGTTGTTGTTGTTTCGGATTTTGTTGATGTTCTGCTGTTCAATCCATTGAGGATTGGTAGAGACAGTAGCTCTAATTCCCTGTGTATACACTGGTAGTATTGTTTCTGATTGACTTTCACGAGTGTAGATGGGAAGTGCTGCTTCCGATTCATACACTGATATATAAACAATTAAACATATTAATGGGACCTTGTTATTCATCAAGAATATAGTGGAAATTATCAATGAAAAAAAGAAATTATTGCTAAAGGATAAAGGCATTAAAAGGATTTTAATATGGATCATTTGATTTGTTTTCTTTTAAATGAAACCTACCATATAATCTTACAGATAGTCATGCAATTTTGGAATGGTCTAAAATATATTGAAATATTCATACACTGATTTATAATCAATTAAGCATATTAATGGGAACCTGTTATTTATCAAGAATATAGTAGAAATTATCAATGAATGAAAGAAATTATTTTTAAAGGAAATATGCATTAAAAGGATTTAATTCAGCATTTGATTTGTGTGCTTTTTAATGGAACCTATCATCTAATCTTAATGATAGTCATGTAATTTTGCAATGGTCTAAAGATTTGTGAAATATACAGTGTGGTTGTATTAAGTTTCTATTTGTCTTGTGATTCATTATTAGTTATTCATAGGTATATGCACTCGCCTACAGAAATGAATCAAAGCAACGAATAGACAAATTGTAGTTCAAAAGTACAATGGACCATGAGAAAACCGTAGTCCTCAGGGCCATCAAACTCCACTGAAATAATTGAAATTGATGGAAATAAAATGTTGTTTAAAGCTTCTAGAGTATGATTACATGCATCTAAATTATTGAATCGGCTGGTAGAGAATCAAAGTTAATTTACTAATCTGCCATAAAATACTATAGTTCCTGCATATGATACATTGATTTATTCACAATTAATTAGAGAAATATTTAGCCATATATTTTTTGCTACACTAACAAGAAACATTCAGAAAAAATGTGATTACTTGGAGCTCCATGATACTCTGCGTCTTCCTCTTCGGCTTCATCATCTTGCTCATAACCAGACAAACTGTTCGCCCTGCCATTCTCTAGGTCCTTAATATTGTGCACGTTCTTCTTCTTAACAATCGTATTCCTCCATTTCTTTGCCTTGTCCTTCACCTTCGCTAAAACCGACTTCTTATGGTGGTGCTCGTCGTCGTGGTCATTGTAAAGGGGTAGTTCATGTCCTCCTTGATTTGTCCTCTGCATATTGTTCTCTCCTAAAACAAGGAAAATTGAATGAGAATTCGGCCCGATTTTTCGATTTTCCGGCTATATTTCATGGGTTTTCTTAACTTGAAAATGGGTTTCTAGGTTTGGTTTCTCAACAAAAAACGTACCATCGATTTGTGCCATTCTTTGCTCTGTAATTTTCTGGTGAGGAGATGAGTGTGGCCTTTATGGAGAGACTCCATGGTGGGTTCAGTCCGATATTTTCGCCAATATTCAAAACCGTCAACGCATAGTTGTGGATAGAATAAAGTTGAAGCTGACACGTGGCGACATTAGAGACCAATAACGGGTGTGGATGGGCGTATGTCCACGTGGCGGTATTTCATGTTTGTTTTGACCGTGAAAGTAGGGGACCCAGGTCTTAGTCAACCAGGAATATAAGTGCGAGGCGTGGAATGAGAGAGAGAGAGAGAGAGAGAGAGGCTATTGGCCAACCCTAATATGAGGCTTCAAGAGAGTAGTTTTTTTGTTTGAGGGAGAGAGAGTTTGCCATCCATTCCATTCTTTAGTATGCGGTAGTTTGGAATAATTCATGATAACCAGACAGGGACTCTGGCATTATTTCTTTTTTTTTTTTTTTTGTAAAAACTATGATGAACACCTCTCGCCGCCCTTATGACACTTTTAATTTAATTTAAATTTTTTTTTTGGTTCTAAGTTGTTTTTCTGTCCAACAATAACAACACTTGAGAGGTCGGGTTAAATAAAAAAAAAGACATAGTAAACGAGTATGATATAAGTTTACTCATTTGATAAAAAGACCTACTTAAAAGAGTTTTTTAATTTGAAATGTTCGGAACCACTTAATTATCATTAGATGATTATTTTTAAACGTTAAAATTTGAAATTTGAGTTTTCTAACACTTGGATCTCACCCTTTAAAAATTGGTCTGATCAATCTTGAAACATTGTTTTTTCAAGTGTGTAAAGGGTACAATTACGTATTTTTTCATTGAGGTTAATCCATCAGTTGAAGAGGTTATATCCAAAAAATTTGGGTTCCTTAAATTAATCCTAGGTATGGTTTTACACATTGGAATAAATAACAGCATACTCCCAAGGGAGTATAATTCTTTTGGTAATTAAAAAAAAAAAAGAGGCAACCTAAGATCTTTTTTTGTCACGGGGTACAGTTTGGCATAGGGATGCATCCTAGCGGTAGAGGTAAGGTGCGCCTTCAAATTTTTATCATGGTATATAATTTTGATATAAAATATTCTTAGGATTATCTCAAAATCTATTTTTATATCTAATTATAAAATTTTACATTTAAAAATGGTTAAAATCAAGTAGATCTATACACATGTGAAAATCTTGAAAATGGACGGTGTAGATAATATGTTGTAAAATGCACTATTTCCGAGACTTAAAATCGTTTTATTTTTTATGGTCATACATCTCGATATCTAGATGATCAATCAAAGGGTTTTTCAACATTAAAATTACCTTTTCCGATAGATTTTTTAGGTGCATCCATAGCTCTACATTATAAGGTTGCAGCCTTATATAAGCGTGGGTTCATTCTTTTTAAGCATAGCATTATCAAAAGATATCCTTCAGGAGTATACTGTTTATTTACTCCCTCAAGTAAAACCATACCTAAGATTAATTTAAGGAATCCAATTTTTTTGAGATATAACCTCTTCAACTCATAGATTAGTCTTAATAATAATAAAAAAATCTAATTTCACCCTCTACACAATTGAAAGAAAAAAAAAATTGTATCAAGATTGAATAGATATGATCTAATTTTCAGAAGGTGAGATCTAAATATTAAAAAACTCAAATTTTAAATTTTAAAATTTTAAAATAATCATCTAGTGATTATTAAATGGTTCCCAAAATTTTAATTAACAAAAATCTTTCCAAGTAGGTCTTTTTACTGAGGGAGCAAACTTAATTCTTTAGCATGTTGTATGAATTAAGTTTACTCCCTCAGTCATACAAAGTCAAATAAATCTTTCCAAGTAGGCCCTTATTTTTAAAAAAATTCAAAAGAAAATCTCCCTTCTTTAATTCAAGGACATTGAATTTAAAGTAGTACGGGCTTTTACCATCCTCTATTGTTATTTTCAGACAGGAAAGCGACTTATGAAAACAAAAAAAAAACATCAAAGGCCCTTAATTCTTTAGCATGCAAGACTTTGTTGTCAAATTCATGAGGACTAGTGGAGAGAGAAATTGGCATCAATTCATGAGGACTATTGAGAAGAAGAATTGGGTTTCAGTTCATGAGGAGTATTCACATGATGATACGCCTGCATGGGCATGCAAGAGAGAGGGAGAGGGAAAGTTTGCCATTAATTCTAGAGGGTGAGGGAAAGTTTGCCATCAATTCGAGAGAGAGAGACTATGCCGTCAATTCTTTAGTATGCATGAGAGAGAGGGAGAGATATTACAATCAATTCTTTAGTGTATTACAGTGTGAGTTTGGAATCAATTGTTGAGTTTGTGATGAGAGAGAGAGCAAAAGGGGGAGAGAGATTGCCATCAATTATTTAGTATGTGGGAGTTTGGAATCAATTCATGATGACTAGAGAGAGACTGGCATTAATTTTTGAGCGTTTTATGTATAAACACCTTTTGTGTTTTATTATCATTTGGTGCTATTTTTCACGAAAATTATGAGGAGCACCCAGCCCTTTATGGTATTTTTTTTATTCTAATTGTAATAACAATACCAGACCGGTGATAAAACCCACACATCCTTCAATACATTGGGGTTAAATAAAAAAATAACATACTTCTCCAGAAGTATAATATAAATTTACTCTTTTGATAAAAAGACCTACTTGAGATGATTTTTTTTAAATTTGAAATATTTGGAACCACCTAATTATCATTAGATGATTATCTTAAATAGTTAAAATTTGAAATTTTAGTTTTCTAACACATAAACCTCACCATCTAAAAATTAGTCGGTCTCTGCTCAATCTTAAAACATTATTTTTTTAAAGTATGTAGAGGGTCCAATTAGGAATTTTTCCATTGAGGTTAAGCTATGTGTTGAAGAGGTTATATCCCAAAAATTTGAATCCTTTAAATTAACTATTTGATTATCTTAAATAGTTACAATTTGAAAATTGAATTTTCTAACACTTGATCTCACCCTCTAAAAATTGGACCGTCTTTGCTCAATCTTGAAACATTATTTTTTAAGTGTGTAGAGGGTCCAATTAGGATTTTTTTTGTTGAGGTTAAGCTATGGGTTGAAGAGGTTATATACCAAAAATTTAAGTTCTTTAAATTAATCCTAGGTGTGGTTTTCAACTAGGGAGTATATAAACAATATGCTTCCAAAAGTATAAATTCATTTGGTAATTAAAAAAAGAAAAGAAAAAAGAAGCAACCCATACCTTTTACCTTTAAGGTCATTTTTTTATTTTATTTTATTTTATTTTTTTAAAAGAACCTAAATTTTTGGGGATATAACCAATTCAACCCATATATCAACCTCAATAATAAAAATAAAAATAAAAATAAAAATCTAATTGTGCCTTCAATACACTCGAAAAAAAATATTTTTTTCAAGATTGAATAGAGACTGTCCCATTCTTAAAGGGTGATATCTAAGTATTGAAAAACTCAACTTTTAAATTTAAAATTTTGAAATTAATCAATTTTAAATTTTAAAAAAAATCCACCCAAGTGGGTTTTTTTATTGAGGGAGTAAACTTATATTATACTCCCCCAAGAGTACCCCCCCTTCTTTAATTTAACCCCATTGCATTTAAGGAGTGTGATGTTTATCACTTGTTCGGTATTGTTATTGCCAGACATGAAGGTAATTTAGAAAAACAAAAAACATTACCGGGAGAGTACTCTGCGTAATTTTTTAAAAAAATAATATTAAATGATAATAAAAGGACACAAAAATGTATCCTTTTGCGTAAAAAGCTCTTAATTCTTTAGTATGTATGACTTTACGGTCTATTCATGAGGACTAAAGGAGAGAGAGGCTGGCATCAGAACTATTGAGAGAGAGAGAGAGAGTTGGGTTTCAATTCATGAGGAGCGTTCACATGACAATATGCCTGCATGGGCATATGCAAGAGAGAGAGAGAGACTTAAGAGTAAATTCATGAGAACTATTCCCATGACAATAACAAGAGAAGATACGAGTTTTCTCAATCCTCACATAAAAGCCAATCCACGAGGACTCCTCAGTGAACTTGTGAAAAGAAGAGAGCGCTACTACTGCCACTGATGGAATAAACTCATAACAACACTATTCATTCATTCATTCACATCACAATAAATTTGCTCATTCCCTATTGAAGACTCGGACTAAAAATATCTACATATCTTACACGAAATTGTGAACCTATCTCACCATTTCTCTAACTTTTGGCTCTTACCTGTAATTAAAATTGACTTACCCCCTTAAAAAAAGAACAGCCATTGTACCTTTTCAGGGATCCAGAATTTGCTGAAATTAAATTTGAAATTGGGAAACATCACTAAAACCTTTCTTATTTATTAAAACAAAATAGAAATTTAAAATCTTTGGAAATTATTGCAGTAGCTCCCATTGAACTAGTAAGGGTGAAGATCTTAAACTTTCCCTTAGCTCATCTCAAGCCCGGTAAAGGAGGAGGTTGCCTTAATTAGACAGCCCATGTGAAACTTTACTACATCTTATTATGAATCCTAAACCTATGTTATATTGGTCTTACTGAGAGTATGACCCTTGATACAGAAGAATGAAATAATATGATTCAAGTAATCGATCTTTAAATCATTGAGACAATACTTGGATGATGATGATGATCGGTAGCCCCCACAAACAATCAGAATTTCACATGAAATCTTTTAACTACTTCTCTTCATAGCGCCTAAGAAATTTGAGTGTATATTCCATATAACACCTTTCGAAATGCGGGTCTCTCTTCCTCATAGTTTAAGCCTATATGGAATTCATATTTCCACACCAGTCTGAATTCTCAAAGGAAATATATACAAGAGGACTATTTACTTTACTACAAAAAAGTTATAATCATTATCGATCATTAGATATGATATCGATGGGCTAGGGATGTGTTATTGATTTGGCACCAAGTTCAAAATAAAATTTTTTAAAATATGTGATGCACTTTTAACACTGCAATTTTACATCCAATGATAAAAAATGATTGTGATCTACTTATTCAAAAGATAAATAGTTATATAATAGTATAATCCCATTTTCAAATCTCCCATTATCTCATTTTCCAGTGCAAACTCGACTAGGGTGGCCTGCGACGAGGCACTCTTGGAGCAACGACATCCCACTTGAATTAATATTTCGTGTCTCAAGACCACTGTCTATTGCAATAAGAGAGAGAAGTTTGGTCTCAAGGCAAGGAGAATTAGTAAGAGAGAGAGGAAGAGACTTTCAAGACATAAGGCATAGGGTTGGCAATGGGCTGGGGCAGCCCTGGCCCTACCCTATTCCCCTAAAGCCCGGCTTAGGCTTGACCTAAGCCGGCCCTAGCTCTGTCAAAGCCGGGCTGGATGGGATGAAAAAAAAAAAAAAGTAATAAAATAAATAAGCATCAGACTGGGCCAAAACGGGTCAGCCCCTAATTTTTTTATTGGGCTGGGCCAGGCCAACGGGCCCATTGCCACCCCTAATGAAGGACTTGCATGAATGCAGCGAGGATAGAAAGCACCATAAGAGGGTTAGTCGAGAGGTATAAACCAAAGTGAGAAAGAAGGTTCTCGTAAGAAATCTCCACCCCCCCATGAGAAAACATGGCAAAATTGAAGAAAAGACCCAAATCTCTCTCTCTCTCTATTGACCCATTTTCTCACTAACAAGGAAGCCATAGTCTCTCTTTTTTCCCTCTAGAGGGGAAGGAAACCATAGTTTCTCTCTAAAAGAGCATATCCACTCGTTCTCTCTGCAGATATATAGGAGCCATGCAACCCCCACTTTGTGTACAGTAGCTTGGCTTCAAAGATGTGCCCTCAACCTTCTTCTAAGACCCGTTGGGTAGAGAGAGAACTTAAACTAGGACTGGGAATCCATGATAGGAGCTGGCATAGCCCGTAGCTAGCGGGAAAAGCTTAGGGTCTACATCCACTTGTTGTAGAATCTTTAAAAAAAACAACACAAACATATATCAAGCCAAAGACGTTATAATCAATGAAAGCACAATTTGGAGCAATATGATGCCTTCATATAGTAGGTTTTTTAAATCAATAACACACATTATAAGCCTCAAAGCCACAAAAAATTGTGGTTTTAGCATAAAAAATCTTTCAAATTGATCATCTGTGACCGTTATGGTTATGAAAAATCAATAAATTAAGCTATAAACATAGTGCATATTATAATATATTATCTAGACTGTTCATTTCCCCCTTAAAATAAGTGTTCAGATTTACAAAATCTGTATCATTTTTTTAGCTTCAAATATCATAGTTGAAAACTGATTTTTGAGCCATCGTGTAGATTTTTATATCCAAAGTGCTTTCCAATAAGGGAAAGGGGCTGGGGTCGTAGTGGTAGTACCCCACACTTTAGTCACCACTTTGTGGTTTCCATTCCCACCCCTAACACCACCCCACTAATACCTTCAAAAACGCTAATTCTTAATCTACTTGAAAAAATGGGTAGGAGTAAGTCTTCCCTATAGAATTACCCAAAAAAAAGTGCTTTCCAATAAGGATCCGATGTGGTTTTATTTTGTTTTCATAAAGCCTAGGCCTTATACAAATTCGTGGATGTTGATTTTGTTGGACAAATTTCTATGCTAAGTGATTTGTAATTAGAGAAATTAAAAATATGGATACAATTATTTATAAGAAAAGTATAAAAATGACCATTTACGTTTAGTTTAAGGAGGTCACAATCATTGATGTCTATCAGATTTCAAATTGGGTGGTTGTGAGTGTGTCATTGACTATACTCAAAATTCAAAAAAATTTCTCAAACTTTGTGACATAACCCCATCCATCCAATTTGTCACCTAGTGGCTAGAAGTAGTTATGCCCTCCTTGTAATAAAGACAAATGGCCCCATAGTATATAATTCCTATTTTTATTAAATATTCAGTTATTTTAAAATAGAAAAAAGTTTATATAGAGCCAAAGCTCTAAACAATCAAATTAGAGCCCACCTCATAAATTTCACTGGAAGAGGTTGTTTTGATGCTAAAATATCCTCAAATTGATCATCTTGACATCAAGATGTATGGACATGAGAAAAAAAATGGATTCAAATTTTGAAAATAATGCATCTTGTAACGCATTTTTGGACCGTCAATTTTCAAGATTTTCCAGTTTTATCTACACTATTATTTAAGCGCTGAATTTCATAATTAAACATAAAAATACATTTTAAGGCTATCACAAAGATTTCAGTATTGAAACCATATTTCTCGACACTATTTGAAAGTGAGTTTTACTTCGATTGTTTAGAGCCTCGACTCTATACAAACCACACCCTTTAAAATCTCCCTATTTTGGAAACCAGTGTCCTTATAATAGTTCCGAATCGATGTTCATATGTATCGAAACCAGTGTGTTTTACAACCTACGGTTTCATGTACAAAGCACAAAACATATGCAATACCTCATGTTTTATCAACATCTTGTTTGAAACTAGCGATTTTAGATTGGGAATAAGGAGGTCATTTTAGAACTGCTGGTGTTTTGTACTTTAAAACATCGGTCTATCGAAAAAACAGGGCATAGGTACAAGATTGTTGGTTTCCAGCCAAGGGCACTTGGAATTTATTTGGCCAATAGAAGAGGAGGGGTCTGCCATAAACCCCTCTTCCACAAATTGTCGGTTCCAAATTGCCTTCTTTTGAGATGAGATTCATCAAACATGAAATCTCTTTCTTTTTTTTTCCTACTTTTTTAATTTTTTTGTTGTTTTTTAGTGAATAAACAAAGGAGTCTTGATCAGTGGAACTTGGGTCTCTTACTCCCAAAAAGTTCTACCAATGGGACACTCTTTTTGGTAAAAAATGTTAGGCAAGGTACATAAAGGGATTGTTACTTCAAGGACATTTATTTTTGTTACAATGAGGTCACGATTATCCTGGCCATTACATGTCAAATTTGATTTTAGGGTTTAAATTTTTTTATTTTTAACTTTAAGTCCAATCAAATACAGACTCACAACTACTCGATTTGAAATATGATAGATTTTTACTAAATGTAAATGATCTCTTTGTATACTTTTCTATGAACTTAAAATACAAAATGTTTTGAGCACTTTAACTGGGGCGTAAATTCCCATTCTTGTGTTAAGTTTTTGGAGATATTATATTTTCCAAATATTTTCTTTTGTTAAAAATTGGAAAAATATGTATTCCCCTATATCATACTTTCTAGGAATGACCCACCAATATTTTTTAAACTACATAACTAATCCATTTATTATTTTATTTTTACAGCCACCCCATAATGAAGAAAATACTTATGTACTGATAAACCTCGAGCTTGACAAATTTTCCCCTTGCTAGTTAAATGGATTGATTAAATCTTGAGCCTAACAGTCCCCGCGCTCGAAGTATTCCATATCGATTAAATTTGTTATGTGGCTGGACCGCATTTCTCAAATTCTTGTCCCAAGGTATAAACATCAATGATGTAAATAGGTGGTCCATCTAAAAACAATTAAAACTAACCGTCCAAGTGTTTTATTCATAAAATTATTATTTTATTTCTTAAAATTTATTTATTTTTTTATATTCATGATCTCCATGTTAGAGATTACATGTCCCTAAAAATGGGTTCCAAAAATCCATCTCAAAAATAGATTTTTAAGAGTCGACTCATTTTTATATGGACTCATAGAAGCAGTGTCCATGATATTTTAGTGCGTCGGAATACAAGTATTCCGTCTATTTAATCCCTCGGTAAAACTCCAGTTAAGATTAATTTTAGGATTTCAAATTTTGAGGATATAACCTCTTTAATACATAGATTAACTTCAATAAAAAATTCTTAATTGCACCCATTAAACACTTAAAAAACAATGTCTCAAGATTGAATAGAGAGGGTGAGATTTCAGTGTTAGTGGTAAAATTAGATCTTTTTGAGAATTATAAGGTGGCTACCAAAATTTTTTGTTGAAAAAATCTTCCCAATTAGGTCATTTGATCGAGGAGTAGAAATCAACTATACTCCCAAGGGAGCACAGTATTTCTTCTTTTATTTATTTATTTATTTATTTATTTATTTATTTATATTTTTTTTTAAGTCTGAGAATGGATATGAGGCGAGGGGACGGGAGGCAGAGACATGGAGCAGCTCAAGCTTGAATGCTAGAGAGTTAGAGCGTGAGAAACCGGCCCCGGCTTGAAACCCAGAAAGAGAAACAGAGCTGCTCAGTCTTGAAATATAAAGAGAGACGGGTGCTGCTCAAGCGAGAGAGAGAACTTCTTTTGAAAGTTTGAGTCACTAATGGCGGCAATGGCATCACTTTCGTATCTCCTCCCTCCTAAACCTATACAATTCCGCCTCCCCTCAAAAATCCAACAAAATTTCTCTAAGAAAACTTTTAGAATGCAGGCTGCAAAGCTTCCTGTTGGGGTCAGTAACAAAAATCCCCACTCCCAGGGTTATTGTTGCTTCCTTTAATCATTTTGCGAATGGGCCACTTGTTTCCCATAATGGGAGTCTTGTTTTCTGTCTTATTTTATGTTTTTGGGAATTGGGTTTCTGTTTTCCTTCTGATAATTTATTTTTTGAAATTGGGTTCTTCAGTAAAAGATAAATGGAGTTTCCTGTTTCTTTTTCTTTTCCCAGGTGGAATTACCCAAAGAAGAGCCCAAGCTTCCAGCTCCTTTTCTGGGGTTCACAAATACTGCAGAAATCTGGAACTCCAGGGCCTGTATGATAGGCCTCATTGGCACATTCATAGTAGAGCTGGTATATTTCTGTTTTCTTGTTGCCATGTGCTAGTATTTGTATTTATAAAGTAACAACAAGAGGAAAAAGTATTGATTAAATTGGTGACTAATTGATCAATGTTTTAGTTTTTTGAACTTCTTAAGAGAGAAATTCAGATACCAAATTGATTGTGATTTACATGAATCAGTGGAAAAGCCACTGGCTACTTTAATCCCCAAATTGTTCTTGTGTGGAGCCTTCAAAGATAACTAATTTCTCTTTTTGAAGTGAAAAGATTGTGGAAGAGATGATCAGGTCCTTGATCACTATGTTCTGTGAGGATATTATTCAACTTTTTATGTGGAAGAGGATTAGGGCCTTTCACCATGGTCTGTGAGAATATTATTCAGGTTTTGTTCGTGTGATTGGCTTCTTATGGCGATATGTGTTTTTCCCTTTTGGGACTTCAAAAACTTTTCATCTCAAGTAATCTTAGTTTTTTCTGATATGATATTGTTATTAGCCCTTTTCTTTTGGGAGTAGTTCAGCGTAGAATTTTGGTCTGGGTGCTACATGAAGAACATAAGCCAGATGATGAATGGGGAGGGGATGTAGAAAATAGTAGGATGAGTGATTCGGCAGATTTGGATTCCCATATATCTACTCATGTGGTACTTCATCATAAGATTCATATAAGATCCAATTCGAACTTGCAATGTAGTGTTGCAAAGGGCAACAACCTAACGGTCCAAGCCCCAGCCCCCTCCTTTGTTAGTATGCCTTGCATCATTATTTACTTTCTTTGAATGCATTTTTCTGACTTAGAACTAGAACTTCTATGTAGCATGCATTGTGATGATTTTGCATGGAGTTTGTATAATTTGTGAGTATATTAGTCCCTTATCCATCGATATGTCTGTGTGTTCAGATTCTGCAAAAGGGTATACTTCAAATAATTGGAGTGGATGTGGGAAAAGGACTGGATCTTCCTCTGTGATGGCTTGTGGTATGCACAATTGAAAGATGTAATATTGAATAGCCAAATTGTGCTTTGCAAAAATATACCATAATCTACTGAGTATGGTTTACGGTACTCGAAAGGGGCATCAACAATCTGTTGCTGATGATGGATGGTTAAGATTAACTGTGCCTGGGTGAATGCCTTCCATGGGGCCCACTATAGTTCATCTCCACTGTCTGTTGGCTGGATTGGATGGTGGACCCCCTTTGGAGTATGATACCCTTCACTCTGTTAGATTGTGCATCTCGATGCACCTATCCTTGTGCTTCTCTTTGTTTGGTTTTTTTGTATTTTTTATTTTTTATTTTTTATTTCTTAGTTTTTGGAGGGCAGGTGGAGAGGGCAATTGTAGAGCTTGCCTTTGCTTTTTTTTTTTCTTGAATTCATCTAGATTGGTGAGTCAACCATGCCAAGGGCATAATCAGGGGATTGAGAATTGGCACTAGACAGAGGTGGTCAAGGTGGCGGGTGGCACAATGTGACGTCTGGAGTTGCATTCTAGCCTGTTCCCAAGTTAATATTCAATAGAAAACATGAAAAGTCAAAAGGGCATAGTCAATGGATATGGGTTTTTTTTTTGGGGGGGTAATTTGGTGGGGAAAAGAGGCCCTTACCCATTTTTTCAATAGTTTAGGGAGTTACATTTTGAAGGTGTTAATTGGGAGTGTCAGCAGTAGGAATGGATACCACAATGTGGTAACTAGGTGTGGGGATGCTACCACCACGACCCCAACCCCTTTCCTAATCAATGGATATGGGTTCCAATTGTAAAACGACGTGCTTAGTTAAAATAGTTGAAATAAAAATTCGATGAAAGGGAGAATGTCATGTTAGGGCTTTTGGTTATTGTTTACTTTGATATGGTTACAGCCATGTCAGTTTCTTAGATTCTTATGAATATTATAGTGCATACACACACACACTATAATATATAGACACACACATACACACACACGCACACACACACACATAGAAGTGCTAAATCTTACATTTTTCTTTTTAACAGGTTCTACATGTCCCAAGGTCATCTTGAAGAATGAATATAACTATTGTCAGGAGCCATGGGTGGGAATGCTTGTTCGTAACGGCTTTTCATCAATCCATTTCTGATATATCTAGTTAATGTTGTACCACATAACCAGACTTGGTTTCATGTACAAAATTAAAGTAACCAGTTGATGGTTCATCAGGAAATCCAGTTTGTCAATGTTAATTTCTTTTTCTTTTTGTTTGGTAATTGAGTGGTAGTAGGAGTTCATTGGCAATTCCAGTTTGATATTGTAGCATCTATATGTAATGAAATTGCCAGACTAGGTCCGATTTTTTAGTCATCTACTCTGAATATCATACATTTATGAAGGTGCTTCTTTGTCAATACAAGTGGTTCAGTTGGACTTCTTTTTGAACAAATTCAAATGGAAATTAGGAATTGTATTAATTAACCAAATCAATTGTCAAAGATCCTGGTGGAAGGTATGGATGTTCCTATTTATCAAGTAAGAAAATTTACACTCATTTCAATTAACCTTTCACGGAAAAAAAAAAAAATCCCACTCATGTCTGAAAGGGTTTTCTTAAGGTTATCCAACTTGGAATTCTGTAACTTGTCATTTGATGTCATATGATGCATAAATACAAGCAGAAGCTTAGATAAGGGAACCATCATGTCACATTGCTTTGTTCCCGTAAAATATGCCAAAAACATGCCAACAGTAAGTGCTTAGCTAAAACACTTCTATTCAAAACATACCATGAATTTGGGCTCCCAGCCAATGCTCTTTTCTCAAGATCAATCCTTTCTAGATTTTATACTAATGTTTCTTGAGCATCCAAAGACAATGGGTCATCCAAATCTTTACCAAGAGTTGTTTGAGCCTCATTACAAATCCCAACCCAACTATATCCAGGTTCCTTTGTCACACCGTTGCTACCCATAAGCATCCTCACATGTTCTTTATCAGCCCAATAACCCTTCTCTCCAAATACATTTGATAAAAGCACATAAGCAGAGGCATCACTTGGGCACAGCTCTAACAGACATCCTGCTGCCCTAACTGCCATACCCATATTTCCATGAACCCTACATGCACTGAGCAAGGCCCTATATATTGAAGCTTCAGGCTTTATTGGCATCTTATTTATGAGCTCTTCAGCTTCATTGAGATAACCTGCTCGACCGAGAAGGTCAACAATACAAGAGTAGTGCTCCACCCTTGGAGCTAATGCCACCCTATCACTCTTCATCAAATCAAAGTATTCAAGCCCTTTCTCAACCAGCCCAGTATGGCTACAAGATGAGAGTACACAGAGAAAGCTAGTGTGGTCTGGTTTCACTCCCACTCTCCACATTTCCTCAAACCACTCAACCGCCTCTAATCCTTTACCATGTTGTGAAAGCCCTGCTAGGAGGGAATTCCATGAAACTATGTCTAGTTCTCTTGCCAGTGAGAAAACCAATTTTGCTTCATCCAATAAACCACATTTTGAATACATCGAAATAAGGCCATTTTGAACATAAGGATTTGAGAAGTGACCAGTTTTCAATACTAAAGCATGGGTTTGCTTGCCATGTTCAAGAGTTGAGAGGGTCCCTATTGCTTGAAGAAGGCTCCCAAATGTGTAGAAATCAGGTTTTATCAAAGATTGATTCATTCTTGCAAAGGTCTCAAGAACTTCTTCACCGTACCCCAGATGAGCAAAACCTGCAATTACTGAATTATATGAGACTTGGTCATATAAAGGAGTTACTGAGCACAATTTGCAGAAATCTGAGGCACTGGTGCATTTTGAATACATGGTTATGAGGGCTACTGATACATGGGGCTCGAGCTCAAAGCCTTCCTTGATCACCTGACAATGAACTTGTTTTCCGTGGTCGAGGTCTTCTGGTGAGACAAATGAGCTTAAAAGACCATTATAAGTAACTTGGTTCAATTTTATATTGGCTCGACGCATCTCTTGAATCAGTTTAAGAACTTCCATAGGTTGCTTCTTTTGCGAATACCCTGTAACCATCGATGTCCAAGTAAACACATTCTTCTCAGGCATGCTATTGAAAACTTTATTTGCATCTGTAAATTTCAAAGATTTCATGTAAGAATCAATCAAAGCAGTACCCACTACTACATGGCTCTGCAACCCAAGTTTAAAACTCAGGGCATGGATCTTCTTGAGATCTTCTTCTACATCTAACCTTGAACAAGAAGCAAGAACACTTGATAAAGTAATGGCACTTGGGCAAATCCCCATTTCCCTCATCTTTATATAGATATCTAAAGCCTGATCATACAATTCAGCTTGCGAAAAGCCAACAATCAAAGCATTCCATGTCACTGTGTTTCTATATGGGATTTTATCAAATAAATGTGTTGCATCATGGAATTCTCTGCATTTACAGTACATGTCTACCAGTGAACTTCCGCAGTAGATATCTGATTCAAAACCAAGTTTTATAACTTCGGAATGGATTTGTTTCCCCATTTGAAGAAAACCCAACTTCGCACAGGACTTTAAAACACTGCTAAAAGTTGAAGCATTGGGTTTGAACCCAAATTCACGAAGTTGGGTGAAGAGTATCAGGGCATCAGTGTTAGAGCCATTATGAGCATGGTGGGAGATATCTTCATTGCATTGAAATAGAGTTTTTTCTTGATGGTGATTCGCGTGTGTATTGCTTTGTGATCTACACATGGTTGAGAAATAAACTGAAGGATTTAAGCGATAAATAAGTAAAGATAAATGGTGTTGCATCCTCATGTTACCATTTCTTCTATTTATGAAGCCTGCACTTTTTCTATTCCGCCGTGAGGATGAGTGGCTCAAAGACTGGCTATATTTTAAGATCGCAGCTATGGCCTTTGCTCTTGCATGGATTTTATGATATACTGCGTTGTGTTTGAGAATCGTCGTATTGCATCAAGTTTGGCTATCTTCCCTCAGGAAATTACTCACTCTTTGAAAATCTAATGAAAAGTTTCAAATTTCAAGTAATATTAAGTACGCTCCCACAAGAACATTACCATTAATTTACTCCCCCAAGTAAAACTCAATTCAGGAATATTTTTATCTAAATTTAGCCATTAACATAAAAAAGTGACATTATATATGTGCCAAAAAAAATAGCATACCAAGATTGAACAGAGATATTCTAAATTTTTTGGAGGGTGGCATCTAAGTGTGGAAAAACTCAAAATTTAATTTTAAAATTTGAAAATAATCATATTTTGTTTTAAGTGGATTTCAAATTTTGAAATAAAAAATCATCTTAGTAGCTCTTTTTTTTTTATGGAGTAAATTTATAGCATGCTCCGCATAATATATATTTCATATTTTAATACAAGAGTGTGGTTTCTACAAGGTTGTGGCCCTCAACCATCAAAGGCGCACCTCTAAAATAGTAAAGATCATTTTTCAAAAGCAAAAATGTTTGTGATGACCTAAAAATGCATTTTCATCTCTAATTATAAAATTTAGAGTTATTTATGTACGGACTTTAAATAAGTTCTGAAAATACGAGTTGCTCCCTTTATACTCGAAAATTACAATCAAGATCGGTCAACAAGATTTTTTTTTTTTTGGACAAAATTACCTCTCAGTCCGATGATACTATCTCGCATCCTCGGAATGATTTTTTTCTCAAGAACTTAAATTTGTGGCCCGAGGATGGCGTTCTTGGACAAATTTTTTTTTTTTTCAAAACTTAAGTTTCAGACCAAAGATGACATTCTCGGGACGCTTTTTTTTTTTTCAAGAGCATCTCTTCAAATTTCTAATTGAGGGTTGACATCTTTTCGGGTCTCATCAATTAAGACTTTGTTGTCTGCGAACAACATACAAAGCAAGTATATAATCCCTTTTGGAGAATGATTTCATGCAACGGTTGTATAGTAGTATAACGCAACCATCTTTAAAAACCATTTAAAGACATTTGTTAGACACGAATTTTAAAATGTTGCATAATAAACATTTCTTCGACTGAAATCAAACATTTCTTCAACATGAAATGTTGGATAATAAACATTTCTTGTACTGAAATTTTTTTTTGTGATTACCGTTTGTTTCTATTATGGTTGAATCAACCCTAGTGTTTTGTTGTTACTATTAATCAAACATTTCTTCAACATGAAATGTTGCATAATAAACATTTTCGATGTGAAAATGTTTTTTGTGATTACGGTGCAACCCTTGAAGCAAAATTGTAACCTACAAACATGAAAATATGATAATGGGAGCAACCAAACTGATAATAGCGAAGGCAAAATCCTTTTAGGCCATAGCATCATTTTTTTTTTTACACCCAAAATCCATAATCCATATCTCGTTATTTTAAACAGAACTGCATTTTACACTCAAAATCAAAACTCATTAAAAAGTGGTAAATCCTGTGATTTAGTTATAGGTGTACCTATGGTAGTGTATTGGGGTGTTTCTCATGAATGGTTGAGAATAGAAATATCTGCATTTTTCTCACGTGATTTTGATAATAGAAATATTTATATTTTTGTCATGAATATAAATAATTGTGAATGTGTTGGCTCGTAATAAAAAGATCCTTATCAAATTGCCTAAATCATAATAACAAATATTAAAAGAAATTTACAGAAAAGTTAATAATAATGTTCCGGTCATTTATTATTTCTGATTTATTTTTTAATAAACATTAAACATTGTACAAAACTATTTGAGAAAATAATTTTTTAACCTTTTTAAATTAAAAAATAATTGAAAATAATGAAAAAAACGATAAAGAAGTATTACATCTATTTGAGCTTGTCTACCCGACTGTCCTAACATTTTTTGAGGTTAATGAGCGAACTTTTCTGCAGTGTCATTTACCACTGTTCCAACATTACAAACTTTAGTTTTACTTATTCTATTATTTATAAGAGTGGAGCAGGTGTAAGATGCTTTTTATTCAAATTCAAAATCATGCGAAAGATATAAGAGAATATGCAGGGAAGGAGACGAGAAGAATTTGTAAGACTGGTTTGCCATTCACAGAATGTAAAAGCCGTGGCAATAACGCAAAATGACACATTATCAAATAACAACAACGGCAAAAAAAAAAAACTTAAACGGGTAGAAGTCCTAGTTTCCACCCATTGCCAGTATCTCTTAGGTTCTATAATTTATGACATGAGAATCTTGCAAATAGGGAATTTTATGCAAGAGAAAAGTTTATACAAGATTTTAACTTTGTAGTATTAAAGTAAGACGCACCCAAAAATATTATTAGGTTTAAAGTAGACACTACTAATGCTTGAAGTAGTGTGTTGGGTAAAAGGTGTGGCACCTCTTCAATAGGTTGGGGTATCTAAAAAACGCATAGTTTTTCTACTTACCCAAAAAAATATTAGAAAAAGGGTTGTTCCGATCAAAACTCTTCAAATTGATCATCTCAAACTTGATATATGTCGATATATATAAGAAAAGAAAAATGAAAAGATCTCAAGTCCATTACATTGTGTTTATAAATTTCCTGGATCTATATAATTTTAGAGCCTCAAACTTCATAATGAAGGGTAAAATGGATTTTCAAGTATTGTAAGGGTTTCTAACATCAGACTGACATCTTCTCATGAGATGCAAAGATACCACTTTGATTATTTAAAGTTGATGCCTAGTAAAACCTCGCACCCAGTAATCATACTTTTTTTTGTGTAATACTTTGTGCATTTTAATCTTTGAGTTGAGGATATTTATTGAAAAATGCCTTTTTTTGCTTATTGGCTATAATCACTAATTGGATATCTCGGATGGTGTTGGAGGTTGAGTCTTTTTATGGGATGTTCGAAGGTCGAAGTTTGTATAAACTTCTTTCTCTATTAATTTTTTCATTCCGGAATCATCTAATTCCTTTTTTTTTGTCTTGACAACATGTTTTTTTTGGTTCTCGGCCTCTTAGATTAGAGGATTTTTGAAAAAAAAGAAAAATATTTTTTTCTCCCAATCATAGGGGAAAAACAAAATAAAGTCAAAGAAAAGAATGGGCCATGCATTTGGGAGGGCGAGCCACATGAGGAAACTGGACCCTTTGATTGAAATGATAAATAGTTTGGCATTTTTAAAAGCATTGGGCAAGCTTTCTATGTTTCTTCTAAAGCATTGAAGTTCTATCTTTCTCCTTATCTAACCGTCCATTCTGAATGGAGGGCTAAGATTGCCCCAATCACAATGTCACATCTCTACACTATTTTATTTTTAATTTTTTTTTATAAACTATTTTGACACCAAATTTTGGACGTCCATTCTTCTATTAAACTTGCATTAGCGAAAAGTATATAAAAAAAATTTCAATAAAATAAAATGATCAAAATACCCCTGAAATCTTCAAAGGGTATTTTGGTCATTATATTTTATAGAAAAAATATTTTTAATATTTTTTATAGGTGTGCCCCAATGATAAGATGACACGCACCAAATCTCCTATTCATACAATTTGTATAAAAAAACTAAAAATAAAATCCTTTGAGACGTCGAATCTAAGATCAAACAGTGAGTGGCTCTCCTGATCAAAATTGGACTGCTGGATGGTAGAGAGAGGATAGAACTTCTATGCTGTAGAAGAAACATAAAAACCTTGTCCTTAAATTACTGCCTCTAATTTAATTAGAGGTTTCATACAGATTTTACACTTTTGCCAAGTGTATCGTAGAAAAACGGTGTATGACATATACACTCGCTCTTTCAGGCAAAAGGAGATATACTAAAAGAGGATGGGAAATGATCTAATGCAGTGGTTGTATAGCAGTATAATGCAACCACACTTTTAGAAAACCATATCTTTGGTATTTGTATGATCTCAAATTTTGCACACACATTCTCTTCATCCTCATAATCAATCCTATATAAAAAAAAATTCAATTTACACCCTAGATATGGTCAAAAATAGTACCCATCCAACAATGAATCTCAACCATCTATTTGGTGAATTTCATGATCCAGGCCTTAACAAATTCAAAATCATTTTTTATTTTTTAGTATTATTTATCTAAAGATGATAATGCTATATAAAATTTTTAGGAATAAAAAAATCCTTCTGAAGCCTATATCTATCCATCTCAATAAAATGGACAGCTTATATTAATTGGGCTAGAATGAAAACTTTCAAAATTTTCTTTTTATAATTGCTCTTCATTATGAAAAAATTGTATATTTAGAAATTCGTATCAAACAAATGTCTTTAACATGATTTTTTGAAAATGGTTGTATTATACTGGCATGAAACCATTCCCCTCAAATAATAACAACAAAACATTACCGTTGATTAACAAAACACTATGGTATGGTAGCATTTGATAACTGTGTAACAGGGAGAAAGTTACGCGTTTGGGAACCGCGTAAATGGGTGAATGTCCGAACAGGTTTTTATCTCTTTTACTGTTATCTAAACCGTTCCTCTCGAGGAAAGTTTGGGAAACTTATAAATGGGTGAAAGTCCGAACAGGTTTTTACCTCTTTTTACTGCTCCTCGAAAGGAAAGTGGCTACACATTGGAAGGGATGTGATGTGCAGTAGCTTTAGCAGAGAATTGGTGAATGTCGGAACGGGTTTTTATCCGTCAAAAACCCTTGTTTCTCTCTATATCTTCCACTATGCTCTATTCAAAACTTTATTAAACCCACCATTCTTCTTCTCTTCATAAACTTTACCAAACCCAGCATTCTTCTCTCTCAAGCCTCTTCATAAACTTTACTAAACCCGACTGATACTGTGAAGGACTGATCTTCCATTAATGAATTCCTTGTGCAACTCTCTCTCTAAGTTTCTTAGAAGCCTTACTAAAACTTCTATTCCCTAGATTCCATTGACGTATTACTTGTAAAAATCTGAGCTTATCTGAGTTTTTTTGGATCTATTGAAGAAGTTCGGTAAAAATCTGTGTGGAAGTGTTTAGGTTATACAAGATGGAGGAGATTTGGAGGTGTGCAAGTTATACAAGAGGTTGACATGTACAAGTGTGTGGAAGTGTGTAGGTTATACAAGACGGAGGAGGTTTTGAGGTGTGCAAGTTATACAAGAGGTTGACATGTACGAGTGTGAGCCAGATATTTGACAGGTAGTTTCATTCATCTATTAACAATTTTATGGGGCTTTATGCGGTTTGCCTGTAATATCATTCGTCTATTAACAATTTTATGGGCTTTATATGCGGTTTGCCTGTAATTTCATTCATCTATTAACAATTTTATGGGCGATTTTTGGACTATTAACAATTTTATGATTCATCTATTAAATTTCATTCATCTATGAACATTATGGGCGTGATTTGGCTGTAATTACATTCATCTATTAACAATTTTATGATTCATCTATTAACAATTTAATGGGCTTTTTTGTCTTTATGCGATTTATGGGCTTTTTTTTTTATCTTTCGAGAAGATAGACTGAAAGTTACATATAGATTGTGGTTTTTGGTCCTAGTTTTGTTTAGCTATAATGAAACACTAAAAGTTCAGATAGATTGTGGTTTTTGGTCCTAATTTTGTTCAGCGATAATGTCCTAATTTTGTCTAGCTATAATGAAACACTAAAGTTAATTCAACTTTTTGTAGATGAAACCAAATTTGGGGTTTTGGGATTCATCTGCAAACTTTTAGGTTCAGTATAACAAACTGTAATTTCATTCATTCATCTATTAAGCGTTTTATGGGCTGTAATTTCATTCACCTATTAACATTATGGGCGTTTTATGGGCTCTATGCGATTTGACTGTAGTTTCATTCATCTATTTATCTACTAACAATTTTATGGGCTTTTTTTTATCTGTATACGAGAAGTGCAGATGGACTGAAAGTTGCAGATAGATTGTGGTTTTTGGTCCTAATTTTGTTTAGCTATAGTGAAACACTAGAAGTTCTCGTGGTTTTTGGTCCTAATATTGTTTAGCTATAATGAAACACTAAAGTTAGTTCAGCTTCTTGTAGATGAAATCGAATTTGGGATTTTGGGATTCATCTCAACTTTTTGTAGATGAAACCGAATTTGGGGTTTCAGGGATTCATCAGAGGAATTCACACTTTTTACGAAATCTCCAAAAAAGTATTCATTGAATCTATTTACATATCTAGCATTATATCACACTTTTACGAAATCTCCAAGAAAAATTCATTGAATCTATTTACATAGTTAGCATTATATTAGATGGATGAAAACCTTATTTAATTACAAAATGTTATTAAAAAATTGCATTTCGCACATCTTATCAATAACTACATAAACAGCTACAAGCGGTTTACAGCTTTTCTATTGCTAAACAGGTGAAACAAGTGAAAAACAAGTGAAATTACCAGCACCACAATTTATCAGACATGTTTTTTATCTCCCACGCTACCAATTTCACCTGCATCCCAGAATTTAGAAAAGTGAGCTTTCTATCTCACACGCTACCAATTTTCAACTGCGTCCCAAAATCTAGAAAAGTGAACAGCAGTGGAGATTCCCAAAGACATTGCAAATTTTCACTTGCATCCAGGATCTAGTAAAGTAAAAAGCCGAGTGAAATTTGCCAATCGCCATCTAGATTTTATTGAAATTTTGGGAACATATTTAGGAGTGAAAGTTATCAAACGACACCTAGATTTTATTGAAGTTTTAGGAACATAGTTTTCGTAAAAAATGCAGTAGATAAATTTCTTGCAATTCGATTGGCATGAAGCACTAACATATGCAAAGAATAAAAAGAAAAGAGAGATGCGATGCGTCCATAAAGGAAAAAACGAAACAGAACTCATTAAAAAAAGAAAAAAACAAAACATAAGTCATTTAAAAAAGCAATCTATTTTATAGATTAAAACAAATGACATTTTGCTAATGTGGTTCTTTCCCGGGAAAACCTCAATTCTATTAGACCTAAATGGATTCCATACACCTTCATGACCAAATTCCCTAGAGCTTCGACGTTTCACTTACAAAACTCGTTCAATTCGTGTGTCTATAACTGGAACCTTTGAAGGTTCAGTAATCTCGAGCGCTTGATACAAGGATAACCGGCGATTTCTCCAAGTGTTCTCTGCCCACTTCTTCATTCTCTCTCCTTCATCCTTCCTGTTCTGCTGAACTTGTAAAGCTTGAGCATAACCACCTTCACATAATCCAAATCATTTTATCAGTAGAAACAAGAAAATTTCAATTGACTAAATGTTATTACTATTTATTTTGTGGCAAAATTATCAAATATTTGATAAAAGCAAACCATTATACTAACACAAGAACTAACGACACAAAAACTCGATCCCCTATTCAAGGTGGTAAAAAGTCCGACGTTTGCAACTTGCTCTCTGTCTCTGCTATGGCATTTGCTACCAGGGGACATGTCAAATCTCCCCAATACTCACAAAGTGACATAGTTCCATGTACAGAGAATGAAAGAGGGATGGATCCCCATTGCTTGCCTTGCCATTGTTAAGTTACATCCACCACCCACAAAGAATCCTGACCCATCGAAAGACTGATGTGTGTGAGTGTGTGTGTGTGTGTGAGAGAGAGAGAGAGAGAGAGAGAGATTTCACAATTATTAATGGGTGACTTGGGCCTGTGTGCCACCTTCAAGATTGTGAAAAACAAGCACCCTATAACTGAGCTCTAAGCACAAGCCCTATAATTTATTTTCTGGTTAATGGTGAGGGAGAATAGGGTTCTTACAGTAATTTCTGATTCTAATCACACACCAAAAGACTAGGGGTATTTTTAACTTCCCGCACATCAAAGTTCTTGGAGGTGGAAGTGGGATAGGGAGCATTGAGAAGCTTGAACCCAACATTTCGGGATCACATGATAAAGTTCCATCTGGTAAAAGCCTCCATCTTCTCATTGAAAAATATATAGAGCATTATTTTGAAGCATAATTACTCCCCTTTTTTAATGGGTATGCATTTAAGACTTGTTTCCTTGTAAAAGATCAACCGTACATGGGTGCATGTGATTTCTATCATCCAATCCCAAAGTGACTGGGATCGCGTTCCCTCCATATAGGAGCAGGATCCACCCAAGATCCAGCTCCGAGAGTGTGGATCCAAGTTGGGATCCCAGAAACTATGCCCCAAATAAATTTTTTCCATTCATCCATTCTATTCAGGTTCATATGCATCCCTAGATGGTCCTAAGTTGGGGCACGGCTACTTGGCTGATTGCTCAATAGTTAAGTCATAGGGTCTGTAGCACAAATATCCAAGGTTTGTACTGCATAGAAAATAACAAAGGGAAAAAGCGAAGGAAAAATGAAATATGGTCCTAATTTCCAATTTCCAAACATTTAAATCTTATATGATCAGAGACAAATACTAAAAAGGAAATAAAACAGGTTCAGAACTCGGATTTGGAACAAATAATTATTCTAACATGCACAAAGGGAGGTGGTTATTGCTGGAGGCCTCAAATAGAACATGTTTGTTTATTGTTCAGAAAAGTGGACCGCCTAGCGCCTAGGCGGTCCAGAAGACCTGGGCGCATCACCCAGGCCTAGGCAGCCAAACTGGGCGGTGGTCCTTGAGCGGTACGGAACCCGCCTACGTGGCCGCCCAGCACCCAAGGCCTGCACCCCGCCAGATGCAGAAAAGTAATTTTTTTTTTTTTTTTTCACGTTTTTCAAGATATAAAAGTTTAGAAAGATCGGTTTTAGGTTCATTTGAGACCTAAACCCCCAAGAAACCCTTTTAGAGAGAAAGAAACCTCCAAAACTACATTTCATTGGATCGAATCAAAGAGTTTCTCAAAGTTTGGATTTCGAGCAACCAAAACAAGTGCAACTTTTAGATTGCTTGTTTTATTTTGAGATGTCTTCTTCAGGAGTTAGTCGGAGTGGAGATCCGGGTTGAAAATATGGATACAACCCGAATCCAAATGACAAAAATTGCGTTAGATGCAATTTTTGTGAAAAAGATACAAAAGTAAGCATAAACCGATTTAAGAAACATCTTGCTGGTATTAAAGGAGATGTTGCCCCTTGTAAAAATATTCCTGAAGCTATCAGAGAGGAGATTAAGCAATTTATAAGTTATGTAAAACAAAAACAAGAACAAAATCCTTGTCATAGATCTATTTCTGCTACTCCTAGAAAAAGTGATCCGTTGGAAGTATGAGTACAACCCAAAACCAAATGATAAAAATTGTATAAGGTGTAATTTTTGTGAAAAAGATACCAATGGGGGTATTAGCCGATTGAAAAAACACCTGCTGGTGTTAGAGGTAATGTTGCTTCTTGTACAAAGGTTCCTGAAGCAGTTCGAGCTGAGATTAGACATCTTCTGAATTTTGAAGAACCAAAAAATGATAAAAATAAGCCTTATTCTATGGAAGTACTTTCTCCAGGTTCTAGACAGAGTGGTGATCCAGGTTGGAAGAATGGTTAAAACCCGAATCCAAGTGATAAAAAGCGTATTAAATGTAATTATTGTGGAAATGATACTAATTGGGGCATTTACCAGTTTAAATGCCGGTATTAAGAGGGATGTTGCCCCATGTAAAATTGTTCATGAGACTACCAAGAAAGAAATTATACAATATTTGAGTTCAGAGAAGCACAAAGAAAAGGGTAGAGCAGCCAAGACTTCTAGGGTCTCATCTGCAAAGACTAGTAAGAAGAAGGTAGAGGAAGAGGGAAATTCAGAAGAAACAGAGAAAGACGAGCGTAACTCTGATGATGATGGCCTCGACTCTTATGCATATGATGAGGTTTTCCTTATTGATATTCCTTCTTATGATGATGATGATGACGATGACGACTGAAGACTCTTGTCTCTTGGTGCTGAGTGTTGAGTGTTAAGTCTGTTTACTGTTGTGTTGAGTCATAAGTGTTGACTTTTGTCATACTGTATATTTTCTAAATTTCTGTTGTGTTGAGTGTTGACTTTTATATCCTACCTACAATTGTATGGTTTTACAGTTTACTGTTTTAACAATATGGATTATCAAAATTCTCTTCTCAACGTCTATCTCTTTTTTTTTCAACTTTGAATATGGTATTACATTGGTAATAATTTGGTATGGTTTTTACTTTCTTTCAAATTTCAACTAGCAGCCGCCCAGGTTCTAGACGCCCCCCCAGGCGCTGGGGGGCCTGGACCTCCCAAGCCGCCTAGGATCCGCCTAGGGCTTTTTGATACACTGTGTTTGTTAGACTATGCCTATTTGTTGTTTTGGACAATAAATATGCCAATATTCTTTGCAAAGAAAAAATGTTGCATTTCTTACCTCTTGTGAGCACCATTACATCACTTCTGTTTGTCTGGATATCTGCACCTACTACACATACATCAAGCATAAACAATTTTATCATTGCAAACAAGTACGAGGACAACATGAGGCAAAGGTTATCATTGATTTTACCATCTGTATCCAAAGTAGGAGCTTTAAGCAAATCTAAGGCCCTTCTATAAAGTCCCTGACACATGAATTGCCAGTTTGTGATAAAGAAAAAATACCATACAAATATCTAAAAATAGAATACTTCATATTCAATCATATTTTGGTGTGTCAAGAAACACCTCATGGGTCAAATGAAATCCCCATTATTAAATGATTTTTTTTTTCCATAGGAAGTTGATCTGATTTGCAGTTTAAAACATTGTTACCTGAATCTCCCACCGAAAGTCACGATGCCAATTCGGAACCCCGATTCGACGATTCCGACTCAGAATCTTCATGAAACCAATTTTCATGAAGTCTAGAATCTTGATTCCTTAGTTTAGGAATCTCGGTTCCAACACTTATAGAATCTCGTTTATAATATTTATTGATCTTCCACAAATGGTGAATCTCAATTCTATACTTGTTAAAACTGGTTTCCATATTTACTAGAATTCTACCACTTCCCTTTTTTTTTTTTTTTGTTTGTTTGTTTGTTAGAAGTGATGTTTAGAAGTCATCAAACTACTCGAGCTAGGTACTCAATCTAAAGCTATGAGATGCAGTCATCTTTTTTGGCATGAAATCACCAATAGACACTAAAGCCGTGGTCCACATTCCCTACTTCTTTAAGTATGCATTGTATTGATACAATGGAGAGATTGCAACTCCAAGATGTTAGAAATAATGTAATACAAATAATATAAACGTGCATATATGATATGTTGATCAATGAATGACATTGAGACATGTATTGTTTCTCTTAGTTCCCTCGCGTTTCCAAAGATGTTGGAATCTCAATTTCATAATTGAAGGAATCCCCGATTCCATATTGGTCAATTCCAACTAGGTCAATAACCCAATTTCAGAGGGCTAGGAATCTCAATTACATCTATGTAGCGATCTCGATCCTATTTTGGTCGAATCTCGACTCCTAAAAATTAGAATCTTATCCCCCAAGATTCCTCTTGTATGGACGTCAATTCTAAAAATAGGAATCTTCCACCTGGTGTGGCGATTCTGTGCTTTTGATTCCTAAATCGATTAAGTTTCCGAATCACTTCGGGTACCTATGACTTAAACTAGTTCTTTTTTAGGAAATTTATGTCCATACCATATTTAAATATTGTAATTATACATAGGTCCAAAATTTACAAGGAGGTTCACCGATCTGATGTTCAAAACATCGGACCGCTGCTTTTTTTTTCCCTTTTATTTTTTCCAATTTTTCCTCTTGGCCTAATGTTCCAAACATCGGACCACTTTTTATTCTATTTTCTTAAATTTTTTTGAAGTATAGGGACCGGTTCGACGTTCCAGATCTGTGATACATGGCTTGCGTGAATATTGCGGAAGCCAAGCGATCTAAGATTTGGAACCTTGGACCGGTCCCTGGACCATGAAATTTGAAGTTTAGGTAACAATCTAAGGTTTGAAACCTCAAACCGCTTGGCTTGCATAATGTTCATGCAAACCATCCGAGTCTGGAACCTTGGACGAATCCTTGGACTAAGATTCACAATCAATGATCCATCCGAGGTTTCAGACCTCGGATGGCTTGGCTTTCACAATCTTTACAGAAGCCAAGCAGCCCCAAGACTGGAACCTCAGATCGGTTCCTACACTTCAAAAAAATTAAAAAAAAAGAAATAAAAAGTGTTCTGATGTTTGAAACATCGGACAAAGGGGCAAAACTGAAGGGGAAAGAAAAAAACAAATGGAGCCCCACATAGAATTTGTAAAAATTTGGACCTCATCGTAATTCCCTATTTTATTTATGGTACCGATGTAGTTTCCTTCTTTCTAATTTCAATGAAAATGTCAGATTACAACATATTTTGGGACATTTTTACATTGAAAGCATTTGATTCCCCCCACCCCACTCCACCCCTCCCCACCCCACCCTCAAGAACAAACAAAACTGAATTCCAGAGAACAAACAAAACTGAATTCCAGCTGGAATATCAAATGCCCATAGCTGTTCCAAATATTTCTTAAAACGTAGTTGTTCTAATAAACTCACTTTCAGTCCATTAATGTACAATGTTTCAAGATTTTAGGGTTTTTTTTTTCACAGATAAAATTTTGCTTCAAACTTGGTAAAAAAAAAATCCATTTCTGCTTTAGTAGGAACTGTGACCAAAAATGAAAAACTCAAACTATACCAAAAGCTCACAACACAAGACAGCGAAGCAAACCTCTTGAATCAGAAGAGAACTTGCACCATGGAGCCTTGCATTATGCCCATACAAGAGGGCCATGCAAGTTAAGACTGCCCCAACCTTAGGATGGTTCAAGCCTGAAATTAGGAAAACCAACGGCAACAAATTTCAAACATTCATTTACAAAAGATTTATGTAAAAGCAAAGAGCATGCATGGCATACCCTTGCAGGAATACAATATACACTAACTCCCTCAAGCAAATCACCTACTTTGAGGATTTTTACTAATAAAAAATTTTAGGATCCACTTAAGATTCATCAGATAAGTATTTGTAAAAAAAGAAAAAATTATGTTCCTAAACACTAAGATTAAACCATCAAAAAATTGGACGGTCTCTGCTCGATCTTAAGATGTTTTCTTCTTTCCAGCACACAGTTTGTATGATTTTTTTTTTTTGAGAGATTGGACACTAGATTGAGAAGGGCTGAATTTCTAAAAGTTTAGGGTACTAAAAATAATCCAAGATAGGGTTGTGCCCGAGGGAGTGAATGTATGATATGCTCCCACTGGAGCAAATAATCTTTTCGAAAAAGTAAAAGGAAAACACAAAAGGCATTTTTTATGCCAACCAAATTTGGTGCTGCCAACTACAAAAAACAAATATTTGTAGTTGCCAGATGGAAAACTGGATAAAGTAACAAACCAAAGTGTTCCTCTGCTTTCTTCAAGGCTTGAGTCAGTACCTCCTCTGCTTCTTGGAAATTTCTAAATGAAAAGAGACATGAATGAAGAAAATTCAGCTTGGATTTAAAATCTAGATAAAGTCCTAATGTTTTTGTTTATTCTTCTCTCTGGGTGTATAAAAGAACTTATGGAAGTGTCGATAAGGGAGAGTAAAAAAGAACTAAACTCTGATTTTGTTCTAGAGTTAAAAGTTAAAACAAAGCTTATATCTATTTTTTTGGATTTTTTTTGAGATAATTGAATTTCTCAAGATGGAATTCGTGGATGGAGATAACCAATTATGGAAAAAAAGGGAAAAGAAAAAAGAGAAAAAACTGGCTAGACCCTAGAATTTTGAAATGAACATGTTGAAAATCTACAAGCAAAACAGATTACTAGCTCACCCTGAGTGAGTATGGAGCTGGCCAAGAGCACAAGTGGCTCCTAAAATGACTTCCTCTGAGACCATCCCTGCCGCTGCTACAGATGATGAATCTGGGGCATTTTTTTCTTGAGAAACCTTAATTGCCTTTTGGTAGAGGTCCTTGGCTAATGAAAAATCCCCACTTGAATGTAAAAATTCTCCATATGACAGAGCGACCTGTCCTGTAAACCCAGAAAGTGCTTGGAGTTTCAAAAGATATTCACAGTTAACATGCAAACAACAGGCTCATGCGACTCAGAGTTCAAAGCTGACAAGCTGAAGAGGATCAGAGTCCATGTATACATACCAAAGCAACTTCCATCATCCACAGAGTAGTGGCAGCCTTCATAGCTTGACTTTGCTGATTCAAAGTTTTTATGAGTAGAGCATGGATGCATTAGGCAATGGTAAAACAAGACACTAAAAACTCACAAACGATTGACATTACATAATAGTAAGAAAGGAAACAAGATTTGGGCCACAGCTTAAGCAAATAATGCAATCTATGAATCCATGGACAACTTCAAGCGTAATGAATTTTATTTTACATGATAGCCATTAACTCTCCCCTACAAGGCTGCAACATCTTGTAAGAATTTTTCTTGAAATAACTACACTTTCAAACTAGGGCATTGTTATGAAAGTTGTATTGGAGATTCACCATTAAGACCAAGGATTTATGGCCTACGGTCATCAAAGGATGGTCCCACTAGTGATTCCTAGCGTGTCAAGGCTTTGGGTAGGGCTATTAGGGTGTCTAGCGCGTGCTAGGGCATTTGTTCCACTCGCAAAGAGTTTAGCCAAGGCTAGGTTTATGGTTGAGGGAGGTACTTTATCTTCACTAATCAGATCATAAGTTATTTCATGATCTCTTTTGGGAATATTGGGTGATGGTCAGGATAATAGCACTGCTCATGCATAGCTGGTTAGGTGATGGTCAGGATAATAGCACTGCTCATGCATAGCTGGCTGTCTTGTTCATTAATTCAAGAGTGCAGCTATATTGGGAGATTTTCCAGATATTTCCTGGGGTATTTGAAAAGAATGGGGATGACATAATTCTTGATAGGCATCAAACAAGCCGAGAGGTCAGAGAGGTTTAGAGATTCCTGAATTTAATATGGCTCTTATCTATAAGGACTTTCACGGGATTAGTGTAGAAAAACTAATCTGATAGCGGAAGACAATGGCTTAGCGGTTTCCAAGACATGGACCTATTAGTCAAGGGGTAAGCTGCTAAAAGGGATGCTAAAGCTTAGCTTCATTGGAGCTCTAATGGGATTTCCTGTCCATCTGCTGTGAGGAGTGTGTGTACAAATGAGTAGGACAAGGTGTATAATGTTTCATGAAACCTTCCATCACCAACAAGAATAAGTAAAAAGGGGGCAAGGCATCAGATTCATCACATAGAAGAGGGAGAGAGAATCAGCTCACTTGGGTTCCAAACAACCATAAAGAAATTAGCTCACCATGGACATAACCTTAAAAAGTGCATATGAAGCAACCAGAGAACATTGTGCAAGAAATGGAACACTTGAAGCAACATGAGAGAAACCAACACATCATCAAGCATCACGGTTCACATGGTTAGCTTTCCAAATGAAATTACCAAAAACCAATAGAACTCAATGATAGTCTCCAACAATGTTTGCAGAGAGGCCAATCATGAGGCTGACTACACTGGAAATGGTCAGAGAGGTCCCCACTTTGTAGGGTAATTTCAACAATCTAAACTCTTTTATGTTTACAAGTCGCTGCATAATTTCGTTTCAATGCAGTTTAAATTACCCTTTATTGGAACTTAACTATCAATAATTCTTTTACGAAAAGAGTGAGACAATCTATACACTGCATATAACAAGATAACTATGATAGGAGATTTCCAGGAACAACCTGATTCAAGATTCCCATTAACAAGATCAACAAGTCCTTTCATGGCTTTAGCTCGCAGGTGTAATTTTCTGCATGTGGCATCATCATCTTCATGATTGTCCTTGAAAAACTGCAAGCAATTGTCTGCGATTTCTGATGCAGCAATATCCTACATCAAAAGAATTTTTGTTTTTTTAATTGAAGGAACTACATCAAAAGGATTACACAAATAGAATTAAAGTAATTCATTGGAAATACATCAGCTTGTAATCCACAGAAGTATGATGTATATATTAAGCTAACCAAATGGTTTTAATTGCAACTGCTAATCAAACTAATAGACTAGCAGTATGTCAATTTATAATTGTTGCAGGAAACAAGGAAAATGATATAAACTTAATCTCCATACTAAGCGAACTATTATACATCTGGCCAATTATAGATGCAGACATCCAGGAGATTTTAGTATATGAAATGATGTCGAGCTCAGGTCAATGAAAGAACATCCAAGGTAAATATGATTGAACACTTGTAAATCATATTATTGACAGATAGACTAGGCAGTTCACATGTTTATTAATTGTCATAGACAAACCTTTTTTCCTTTGAACTTTTAACCAATTTCAATCCAAGTCACTGATTGAAGTTCCAAATAACCCTTCAAAGAGAATGAAGCTCCAAATACCACTAACATTCAAATTTTAATCATAATTAGAGGAACCCATTAGAGGAGGACTCTACTATGGTAGCTAGGATATCAAGTCAATCACAAAGAGGTAAGCGATAACAGAATCACCTAGTAGTAGTAGTAACAGCTGAAGTAGCAGCAGTAATAGTTGTAGTAGCAGTAGTACGAGTAGGAGCAGTAGCCGTAGCAGTAGCAGTAGCAGTAGCGGTTGCAGGAGCAGTACAAGCAGTATCAGTAGTAGCAGGTATAGTAGCAACAGCAGCAGAAGTAGAGGGAGGAGGAAGAGGTATACCAGAAGTATCATTAGAAATAGAAGTAGCAGTAGTAAGACTCGGTAATCTAGACCTAATATTTTGCGCAGTTAGTCTTCATGGTGTTACTTAAAAGCTCAACTTTATCTGGTAGTTCATTGGGGAATTGTGGCCACAAAATCATTGCAATTCTAAAGGTAGAGTTTATTAAGAGCCTTGGTTCAAGTGGAAGGCTCAAAAGGACATGGATGGAAGCACTGAGAAGAGATATAGTGACTTATGATCTGACTTAGGGTATGGCCCTTGACAGAGAGGAATGGCATAACATAATTCGTGTCGCTGACCTCAAATAAATAGGGACAAAGTTCAGATGACGATGACGATGACGATGACGATGACGATGATGATGATGATGATGAGATGAGAACTATCAAGAGCTTTGCCAGGACTATAGGCTACAGGCATTTGTGACTATCAAGGCAAAATCAGGGAACCATATTGACAAGTCATAGAGTTTCTGCAAAGCCTTATCCAATCCATGGTGGTGGAGATTGGTCGCTAAATGTTATAGATGGACGCAATAAGGGTAGTACACCCTTGGAGAATGGAAAACCGTCATGTTAACAGAGGGAAGGTCATTGTCTTTTAATGTGATCAAGAAGTAAATGGGTAGGTGATTCCTAGTCAGATGTCAGTATGACATGAGACATCCTATGCACTGAACAATTTCTCACTCCCACAATAATGCAAATTGATGTAATATATTGCTCACAAGAAGGAGCAAAGGATTAAGAGATGGTCCACTGATTCTTTGGCCTGGTAACACACCATAGAAATACTAGGGAATTGCATCTCTTGATTTTGAAGAAGGTAGTGAGGGCTTTAGTAGGGACTGCCAACCATCAAAAAGAATTGGAAAATGTTTTTTTGAAAGTTGGGAGGGGGGGAACAGGAATGTCCAAAATCATTTCTGGCTTGGATGGAAGCGATGAATCAAGGGCCAGTATGTTGGCAAAAGACTTTACTGTCAAAAAATACATTTTTTACACCAATATGTCCAATCCCCTTCTAGGTATGTAGATGGCCTCCAAAGATGCCAACAAGGAGCAAAGCTCCTTGACTTTGTGCCGGCTTCAATGGTTACATCATAGCTTTCAGTAAGGGCTCCTTCAGCAAAAAAAGGAATACTTTCTTATCTTTTCTTTTTGAAATCTTAGGTTTCTTTCTTCTCCTCTTTCATCAAATACCCCTGAGGACACATCAGAACTCAAATTTTCATTATTCTTATTCCACATGTCTTAGTTCGACAAACAATCCATTCCTATACAATAATCACATTGTAGCGGGTACAGTTTAGTGGTAAAAGTGTAATTCGTTCTGTTACCAAACAAAAAGTTAAGGGTCACTCTGTTTGATTTCGATTCCGATCAAAAACTTTATTTCTTAAAAGGATTGAATCCTTTCCTGTAAATGCCACTATTGAAAAAAAAATATACATTCTCGTGATTTGTATCCAAAGGGAAATATAAATAAGAAAAAAAAGAAAAAAATTGTTTGGATTATGGAATTGCAAAGCATAATTGTTTTTAGTTTTAGCTGGATTCGTCCTTCCAATTAGATGAGTATGAGTAAGGGATCCATGGATGATACAAACATCTATTTCTAATCGTAACTAAATCTTCAATTTTTGTAAAAGAGAGATTGAAGCCAAATAGCTATTTCATCAAGGCTCCTATGAAATTTGGAGCACCAGCGAACATCATCTCCCAGTCTCTCATAACATTCAAACACTTTCACTTCAAGTGAGAGAGTGACTCCGACCAATCTAAGAAACTTTCCTGGATCGTAATATCCCATACCATGTGTCTCTCGAAAACACAATTTGATCACCAAGTGTCTCTCCAAAAAAATAAAAAAATTAGCCACTCATGAGATACCCCTCTACATTGATGAAACCTCAACAATCAGTTTGGAAGTTTCATTCTCCACCCCTCATCGTCATTTCCATATTTTGCTCCTCTTCCTTATGAAACCAAACTGCCAATGCTATCTGCCCAAGAGCGCTTTGTTGAGTGGAGTTTAATTTTCTCAGTCCAAGCCCTCTTTTATCATCAGTGTACAGGCTTCCTCCCTCTTAACCAGATGGAATTTGTTTTATTCACTATTTTCTGCCGTAGAAAGTGCCCTCAAATCCTTTTTCTCAATCATTGGGCTAGGGCTTTATAGCAAAGATATAACAGATCAGAATAGTGTTTAGGGTAGCTTAATCATGTTACTATCCTGCCATAGATAAACATTAACATTTTCAAGGGGCCAACCAACTCTCTACAACCAGATCACAAATTCTTTGCCCAATTACCCACAAAAAGGGGGGGAAAAAAATAATATATATATATATATATATATATATTCTTTTTAATATATATAAATATTTATATATTTAATATTTTCCGTTTAGGAAATATATCTTGACTACTTAACACACAGCTTTTCTTACTAGTATCCAAAATAATTGAACAAAGAAAATAAAGGATATCACACTACCAATCAATCAAGCAGCCAGAATAGGTGGAAATGCAGATGTAATGCATGAGTTTTAATACAATGGATAAACATAAAATAAAAGGAAATAAAATGGAGATTCAAGAAGGACAAATGCCAGCATAGTGGGGAGGAGGGCTAGAAAGAGTGACATCCAAGCCGGAGAATGCATTTTAGGAGTGTAAAAGTTAGCATCAACTAGTAAAACTTTACATGGATATGCTCAAGAAGAATCAATATGACAACATGAAACTCCAGAAACTGCGTGCTCTTAAATACTGCACACTGTTAAACACAATACAAACCTTCTCCATCTGTAAATGAAGTCCAACCAGAGCTTCCATGGCAGCAACTGCAAGAAGTTGAAGATATATAGCAAATAAAATTTATGTCTCCCATGTAAATATACATTTTTAATTAAATTTCATATTGTACACACACACACACACAGATACAGAGAGAGAGAGACAGAGAGTTCCGATAATATCTGCTGTTCCTAAACCTAAGCCATTCGAAAACCTGATTTCCACTAGCCTATTCCATGCAATTACGGCTTGTCTCAGATGAAGGTTCCCAAAGAGACTCAAAAAGAAAAATTGAAGCATTGCAAAGTAATAAAGATTTATGCGGAGGACCTATTCCGACTTAATTAAATACTGAATCACCAAAAGAGGTCATGCAGAGTACAGTCTAGTCGATTGACAATACTAAAAGTAGTCTAATCACAATGGTTAATCATATTCTCCTTCCGAACATCCCTTGTACATCATTTCCCCATCTAAAACACTTAATATTCATTAGATGTATCAAAAGTTTGTCTGTGAATAGGAAGATACATAAATTCTCAAAGTACAGGGTCAAAAATAGACCTCTACCTCTTAAACTAATGGAAGCAACATTCAGCTCTTGAACTAGCTGAAGTTTATCTATGGCATCAACATAATCCCCTCTGCAAAATTATCCAAACATCAGCATTTGGAAACAGATTTCTAGAAGAAGGGAAAAAAAAAAAAAAAAAAAGGAGCAGTAAAGACAATGAACATATTCCCCCCCCCAAAAAAAAAAAAGTGAAAGCAGAAAAGAAGATGCCTAGACTTGTTAATGTCATTGCTACCAAATATCAGTACTGGCACTGGGACAAAAGGGTGTGAAACATTCCAGGTACACTCTTTTATAAACAAATATTGGTACAGGTTTTAAAGAAGATGCTGCTGGTTACAATGCGATATTAGAAACAGCCTCTATTATTAATGGAAAGCGATTGCACAGTAAATTTGAATACTTGCAATAAAAATGCTGCAAACATGTGTGTTTTTTTTCTTTTTCTTTTTCTTTTTTTTTTATTTTTTACTTTTATTTTTTTTGTCTGTTTTTCTCCATATCATCTAATATACAAGATCTTAATAAACTACAAGCAGAACGAATGGGGAATATTGCCACTGACAAGTTGAAAACTGGATATTCCAACTAAGATATTCATATTTCACAGCAAGGTTTAAAAAATCATAGAACCAGATCAGATTCAGTGACTCACTAGGGCTAATTCCCACAAGGACCAGGAAATGGTCCTATTCTATCTAATTTGCATTATTCCCTATGTATACTATTTTTGGTTGGATGATCTGAATCATCAACCAAACACAGCCCTATTCTATCTAAAATCGTCAATCCGAAAAGGTCAAATGAAGGGCCAATCCACCCTCCAAATCTGTATACAATACTGTTTCACGTTATGTAGATTTCTCACACCAATGATCCCCCATCAATCCAACTATTATTTAAGGGTGAGGTTTCAATAAGTTTGCCTCCTTATTTTGTAGAAGTATGGTGTGCTTCTAAATTTTGTCTGAGGATGTAGTTTCAGTGTCAGAAACCTTGAGATGGCTTGAAATTCGTATCCGACCCTAGTTATAAAATTGAACATTCCTAAAATGGTATAGAACGAGCATATCTATAAACACTTGAAAATCTTGAAAATAGACAGCCCAAATAACTTGTCACAAGATGCAATTTCTTTGGACTTGAAATTCTTTGTTTATTCTTTATATTCATACATCTCGAGGTTGAGATGATCAATTAGAAGGTTTTCTAACTTTGGAACACTCTTTTTCTACTAGATTTTTGAGATGCACCTTATTTCCATAATACAAGGATTCAACCTTATATAAACTTTTTCTATTATTTAAAACCCATATAAAGGAATACTCAAGGTCAACACCACATTTAGGAAACATGGTGTTTATGCTTGCATGGTGTTATATTTTGCTTTTACATTCATCAAAGAACCATTGAAGTATCATACATCCAAATGCCAAATGAGAAAATCATCATTCATACATATAGGCAACAAAATAAAGTTCAAACTAATGCACAATTTCATTCAGCATAATTCGATTGGTATAATCATGACTCTAAAGGGTTCCATATTAAGTTTTAAAAATAATGAAGCATCCAATTAAGTTTATAAAGAGCTAACCAGCCAAACAAAGAAGAACATAAAAAAGAAAAAAGAAAAAAGAAAAAAAAGATGACTAAACAGCTGCACTAGCTACATTATAGATACTCCAATGTCAGAATAGATTGAGCAATTAAGTTAAACCTTTCTGCTAAAAGCGTAGCCATTGCAAGTAGGACCATTCCTATTGCATCTTCACTTGACTTGTCTACTCCCTGAAAATTTGAGATACCTTGCTCGAGCACCAAGAGAGCTTCTGCATAAGACCCATCTGTTTAAGAGGACAACATAAGGGTACAACTTGAAAAAAAAAAATGTCCAAATTGACATTGCAGTCCGAGAAATTTATGATATCTTTCAGATTTCTTTTTCTAGGAATCAGCTGAATCTTTGACAAGCATGTAAACCCAAGAAATCATTCCACATTACATACAGAAAGTACACTCAATGATTACATGATAAGGCTGCATATATGTATTGATTCTTTTAAGTGTGAATGTATAACAGTCAAAGTATTTATAAGGATTTTAACAGTTGTAACGTCCATTCAGCCTAAAATAATCGGCTACTTAGAAGTAACGTACTTAAATATTGATGAAAAACTCAACTTTGACATGTTTCAATTGACCTAAAGTTGTACACTGCAAAGGGAGGGAACGATAATTTCTAAATTTCTAGTTGTTTTAGGTCTATCTCTTGTACTATTAACATTAAATGAGCCTTTATAAAGGAAAGGAAGGATATACTAATAGCCTTACGGACTATCTGAACGGGAAGGTCTTTCTTACTGGAATGTTCCTACTTCCTTCAATCGAGTGGGCTTCTTCTAGAGTAGACGTCTCGAGCTCCCTTAAATGGACGGAACAAGAGCAGGTAGGAACTCTAATCCAGAAATATATTTGATAAATTGCCATCAAGTAATAAACTGAAAGCAGGGTCTTGGAAAAGCAATGCATTAGCATTTGCTGATAGCAGTCCAGAGTCCAGACCTAGAATACTAGCATAAAATTTTAACTGCAGCCAACACCAAATAACATTCTAAAACAGAAGAACATAAATCCAAATTTTAAGAGCTGCATTCTAAATACATAAAAGAAAGTAAACTCATATTCAAAAAAAAAAGTTAATCATCATAAGCAAGGTTTAAAAAAAAGGATTGGTGACCCGGATCGGCCACCCCAAAACCATGTCGGATCGGTGGATCGGCGATCCAGATCGGAAAATCGACCAGATTGACTAAACAAACTTCAAAAAAATACTATTAATTTCTCAAAAATCTAGTTTTTAGGTTTCTAAAAGAAATTGTGGCAATAGCATTATGGGTTTTCACTATTATGTCAAAATATGTAAACATTGAGAACATGTCTCATGTTGAGTGTTTATTGTCTATTAAATTTATTTTTATAATAAAAATAAAGTTTAAAATACAACATGACAATAAAATGAATCTCTCGAACTCAATTTATGGATTTTATCATTGTATTAATTTAGGAGTTTTGATTTTTGATAGAAGCTATATGGAACAAATTTAATGGAAGCGGTTGTTAGGGGAGAGAGAGAGAGAGCGAGAGAGAGAGAAAGAGAGAGTTTTAGTGGAATTATTTGTTTGTGCTACTTAGTACAGAGAGAGAATTTTAGTGGAATTATTTATAGAACAAACTTTGTAGAGAGAGGTAGTGGCAGAGAGAGAGATGCCAAGGTTGGGGGGAGAGAGAGAGAGAAAGAAAGAGAGAGAGGGAAAAGTGGGAACATTTGTCCCACATCAAAGAATTAGAAAATGAAGAGTATCTTTAAAAGCTCATGCAAGGTAGCATGGGTGTGCTCTCCTTCTCATGTAGTGGTGACGTGTGTGGAAGGGAGTGGGGATGTGTGTGCATGACGTCTGTGCATGGGGGTGGTGACGTGTGTGCATGAGTGGTTGAGGGCTACAATGGTTTCTGACAGATCCGGCCAATTCTGTCAATGAGCCGGCTAATTCAAGGGGACACGACCGGATCGATGTTGACGATTCCTGATCCGGATTGCTGAATTTTTAAACATTGATCATAAGTAAGCCATACAAGTTTTATTTGCTTTTTCTCATACATGAAATGAAAAGATAAAGAATTGCATTTTTTTTTGAGTAAGTTAACACAATATTAAAATCCAAAAATATCACCACAAAGATGTACATCAAAAAATTAGGCTCCCCAAGAGGGAGCCCTATACAAAATATCATAGGGTCTAAAAGAGAAGGTGGTGCTGCACTTCACCAGACTGAAGTAGTGACTGAGGCTGCAAAAAATTATTCAGCCGCTAATGCATTAGCACTTTCTTTGGCAAGTGAGTCAGCATGTGAATTGCATTCACAACAAACATGTCTCGAAGATACCGAGAGGCCAGAGGAGAGGATGGCAATTTCTTTGAAGATATGCACTACGTACCAGGACCAACTGCGGTTGAAGAGTCTAAGGCCTTCGAGCAGTGCAAGGGCTTCAGCTGATAGGGAGTCAAAGTGTCTGATTGGTTTGGAGAAGGAAAGCAGGGTATGAACTTTGTGGATCCTCAAAAGGCCGCCGATGCCGGCCGGCCCAGGGTTGCCAAGGGAGCCACCATCAAATTTCAGTTTGATAGCACCAGAATCTGGGGATTCCAACAGGATGCTCGAGAGACCGTGGAGCGAGATAGGTGTCGGAGTGGTAGCCATAGGTCCTTTGAAGATCTTGTGGTTGGAGGCCCAAAAATTCACCAATAATTTGATCTTGTCAAACAGAACAGCCGGGGTGGGGTACTGGCCAAGGAAAATCCTGTGATTTCGCTTGTTTCACACTATCCACGAAAGTGCAAAGATGGATGCCTTCCATAGGAGAATACCTGGTTTGGGCCAAGGGTAGGGATGGATGGAGAAAAAATGCCAAGGGATAGATTGGGGGGTAACCCATTGCCAATGGATTACGCAAAGTATGAGACCCCTGAGGAGGAAGGCGACCAGACAATGAATGAATAAATGGTCATCAGTTTCCTTGGCTTCAAAGCACCATGTACACAGTTTGGGTAGAGGATTAAACTTCTCCTTCGTAATTGGTCTACAGTACGGACTCTTTGGTGTAGGGCAATCTAATTGAAAAAGTGGATCTTAGAGGGAATGAGAGAAAACCAAGCCTCGGTGGTGACCGAGGTGGGATTCAAGGGTAAACTGGGGGGTTAGATAAGCTTCAGGTAAAAGGACACTGAAAATAGGCCCAAGGGTGATGGGCACCAGATGAGTCTATCCTCATCATGTAAAGGGATGAAGGTGATATCCAGGAGAGCTGAGAGTTCAAGGAATTTGTGAAATTCATTATCTGAAGGGGGCCTCCTAAAAATAGGACACCACCCTCAGTTCGATCTTTGGATGGCGAAAAGATCAGCAACAGATTCCTGCCTATTGAGGGTTAACAGAAAAAGGCAGGGGAAAAGGTTCATAAGGGGAGAGGGTCGTAACCACAGGTCCAACAAGAATTTCGTACAAGTACCATCCCGTGCTTGGATGCAGGTGTTCTGTTTGAACATGTTGAGTGTGGACAAGAGAGTGCGCCACACACCCGAGGCTCTGCTGTGTTCTCTGGAAGAAGGTAGCCAGGCAGTGGACTGTAGGTGGAATTTTTGTAGCAGTACCTGCTGCCAAAGGTGCTTGGGTTGGGTAGCATAGCACCACCAGCACTTACCCAATTGGGCAATGTTGTTCACTTCAAGCTTTCGAATGCCGAGTCTGCCAAGGTGGCATGGTAAACAAACCTTTTCCCCAGCAATGAGGTGAATTCTGCGCCTCTCTCCTACCCCTTCCCAAAGAAAGTTCTTCATAAGCTTGTTCAGGCGGTTTAAAATTGTTTCTGGCATATTGAAAAGGGACATTTGGAATATTGGGATGCTCAATAGGGTAGCTTTGATTAGGGTAGCTCTACCGGCCGGGGAGAGGAATCAACCTTTCCAAGTAGCAAGCCTTCGCTCGAATTTATCGATGATGTGTGCCCAAGAGCTGAGCTTTGATTTGCCAATGGAAAGCAGGAGACCAAGATAAGTAAAATCAGTGCTACATTTTCGACTTATCCATGTTAATCTTGAACCCAGCGGCCCACTCAAAGCACTTAAAAAAGAGGAAGAGGGTGTTAGTTTCTTGAGGGGAAGAGTTGCAAAACACCAAGGTATCATTGGCATATTGCAAGTGTGAAATGGTGGGGCCGCGTGTACCATACTTGAACCCTTGAAGTAGGCCTTCACTAAAGAGACGGTTAATGAGGAAAGAAGATCACCCTGGCCAAGACCCCTGGATGAGGGAAAGAAGCCCTTAGGAGAACCATTGATTAAGACTTAGAAATAAGGGCTGGAAATGCAGCCCATGACCCATATCCTCCACCGATGTCCAAAACCCATTCGGTGAAGTGTTTCATCTAGGACCAATCAGTCGACATGATAGTAGGATTTTTCTCAATCATGTTTGACAATTAGGCCCGCTATTTTGGAAAGGTGCCTCGAGTGAATACATTCATGAGCTATCAAGGCCAGCCTAGGATTTGTCGGTCTTTCACGAATGCAGGCTGATGTGGGGAGATGATCAGTCCGAGGATTTCCCTAAGGCAGGAGGAGAGCACTTCGATATAAAGAAAGTATCCTTTGCATTTTTAATGGACATTAAAGTATGCTTTTGTGTGACTTTTGTGCGAGCAATAACAATAATCAATCTGATAAACCCAAGAGCATATAATAGTAGAAATACGACAAACATCAAGGAGTAAATAAGTTATCTTCAAAAAAAAAAAAAAAAAAACAAAAAAAAAAAAAAAAAAAGAAGGGAACCAACTATACATTTGAATCACAACCTTTCCCTTATTTGCTGCTCTCTATAACGAAGGTCACAAAGTCATATCTAAAAATTAGCCATTGAGTGATATGACCTCAAGACATAGGCTTTGGAGGGGGGAGATCAAATGACCTAATTTATTTTATTTTTTTCGGTAAGTAAATGAGCTATTTCACCAAAATGGGTAATTAAGGATTATAAAACATCAAGAGAAACACACAGTTTTGTAGAAGACAGGTCCACGTTTTGAACCTCCCTTGTGCAAGCGAAGCTCAACAACCCCGAGACAAATAAACAAAGAAAGGATTACTACAGTAATGAAACAAATAGATGCCTAATGAATCCAGCAACAAGAAACAAGATTAGATCAGTGAAGATTACAAAACATCAAAAGAGAATATAAGTAATAAAAGCAAAAAAATGTATATATATTTGGCACGAAGAACCCACGTTAAAGGAAGAAAAAGGATATATGGTTCACATTTCACTGCTGCCATTCCTAATCTTTCTAATTTACAAGAACAGAAAGATAAGAAGGGAACGGTTTAGCCTTCATAAATAGGATATAAGACATGCACAACAATCATAGTTTGAATAATCATGATTTGCACAGACAATATAATAGACTGATTATGTACTATACAACTGTCAGAAAGGGGGGAAAAGAGAGAGAGAGAGAGAGAGAGAGAGAGAGCATGCAACAAAATCATGAAGTTCATAAAAAAGGCAGAATTGACCGCATATCTACCCAAAATAATCAAGAGAATTTACCGGATTTCTGAGACCTCGCATGAGAAAATGCATAGTTAATCATCTGAACAGCAACCGGGTTTGTATTCGGAGGAGCATTAGTGCAATGGGGTCTATTAGTGATTGGCGAAAAGGAGTTGCAGAGAGAAGTGTGAGAACGAAGACTTGAGCAGCTTGAAGCGGCTGCCGCGACTGCTCTTTTTCCAGCAAGACGCAGCATCCTCTCTTCCCAAAATACTCTCTCTAAAACAGTGAAATAACCAAATCCCCTCTCCTTCACTTCAAAACAGTGAAATGATTAGTTGTTCTCTCTTTAACGCTGACTCAACCAAAAGTTTTCTCTCTCCAACACACTGAGGGAATCAAAATTTCTCACTCTAACAGTGAATTATCAAGCGTTCTCTCTCTCAAAGAAGTAATCAACTGCTCTCCCGCTCAAATACCGAGGAACAACCAATTACACTCGAGCTCTAAGAAACCAAGTAATTAACTTCTCTCTGTAACTCGCTGAAGATATCAACCTCTCTCTCTCTCTCTAACTCACTGAAGAAATCAACCTCGCCCTCTCTCTAACTCACTAACGAAATCAACCTCTCTCTCTC